TGGGACAGTCACAATCTTGAATGTGTTATTCCTAAACTTTTCCTTGTTTTTATGATAAAATAAGTTCATGGAGGAAATGATGAGACTTTGGGCAAATGAATGTTGGAGTTGGTCCTTAAATTGGAGGAGAGGAACTTTTTTGGTTTGGGAAGAAGAAAATGTCATCAAAGTTTCATGATTTGTCACATTCAGATGTGTTACAATAAGTTGAAGGAAGATGAGTAGACATGGACTCTTAAAAAGTTCTAGTATATATTCTTCTATGTTGGGGTATGCTTGCCTGCAAATTCAGTTCTCTATCCCTTCCAAATTGCAGGGGAAAAATTTAGAGATTTTTATGGGTTATTGTAAAATAAGAGAATAAGATAGATTTTTTTTTAATTTATTGAACTAATAAAATACAATATGTTTATCCTATAATTTATTTTATTTTATAGAGAGTCTATATTAAAAATAAATAGAATATAATAATATAATGTATCTAATTTTTAGTTTTAGTAAGCATTAAACGTAAAATAAAATAAAAGTTCATCCTATTCAAATTTTATTATATTGTTATCTAATTTTCATATTTTATTACATCATGTGGACTACAATTATTTTTTAGAAATCCAACTCTATCAAAAAGTTTAGCTTTCTTATCACAAGTTTAACGTTACGGACAAAATTCCTACCATATGGTTGAGTCTCTTGCAAGAGCATCTTAGCATTTTAGTGATTGTTAGCAATTTAATCAAATCTATGATGAAAATTAAAATATTTCAATTTGCAATTAATTCGGAAACCTCGTATATTTCGAAGTTATCCTTTAAAATTGTGACCTTTTTTAGAAATACATGGCCAAATATACATACATTAGAAGTGGATTTTTTAATCATATTTTGTGCATGTAACTCAATATTCATTCATCATAGATATTTGACCTATGCTGATAAAAAGAGAGAGAGAGAGAGATATTTGACCCATTGAATTTTATACAAAATTTCAGTACAGTTGTCAATTAAATTTAAGTTCAATAAGTATATACATTTTTTTTTTCAAAATTCATAGTAAATTATAAAAATTATAGGATCACAGGAAAAGTGTCAAGTTACTCATTCTATATAAAAAACAAACTTACCAATTAATCGATCCAAATTAATTTTTTTTTAAAATTACCAGTGAGAATTATTTTTATTTTTTGTATAAATGCACCATAATATATAGTACATTTGTTTTTTCTTGCAGGTTTGCTTACTTGATTTATAATAAAATATTTCCTTGTCTTTGTTTCCATTCAGTTATGGCATAAAATACTTGTGGCATTGTGACTTCTCCTTGAGTAGTGTAGGTAAACGATTGGGGCTTCATAGTTTAGTATATGTGATTATTAGTCTATTTAATTGTTATACAATGGGCTTAACTAAAATAAGGTCTTTATCATAATACTCAGTCCATTTAGTTGATTTTCTTTCTTTCTTTTTCTAATTGGTATATCAACTTCATAACTATAACATTTGATTGTAAAAATTTGGTCTTTTTGATAAACTACTGAAATCAATTCTAGCTACAGTAGTTTTTCCTTAACATAGTTAAGGTCACATAAAAACTCAAATTACGTTTAACTGCTGATATTGCTTTAAAATTGTGCATGTTTTTTCAAACTTGCACTCTGTTATTATCGATCCACATATTCCTTTACTGAGGCTTGAAAATGTTCAAAATGATAGAAATAAGTTGATAATGAGTTTTGAACCGAAGTGTATGGCAAATGAGTGAAGGATAACGGCAGGGAGCGAGGAAGGAAGCATGGAGAAGGGAGAAAGAGAGAGCATCACTCAACACACATTCCTTATCCCTTTGTAATATGCAGTGGAAATGAAACTTGCAGGGACCATGCAAAGATGCATTCCTTTCCACAAAGGAATTTAGTGCTCATTAAAGTAGGAGAGAAAAAGTAAATTCATTTTCAACACCTGTCAACACCCCATACCTTATTTCCTCATTTGGCTTTAATAGGCCCACATCGGTGACCCGGGAATCAGCGACTGCAAAGATGCTACCATACAATGTGGACAGCTGGTGCGTACCATTGGAGGCTTTTTTAATCTTTGAACCTTTGTGATTTCCCCTTTTGGGTTTAGGATCATATTTGTGTTATGTGCTCAGTGATTAATGGATTTTTTAGTTGGGTACCACTTTCCCATATTGATTGGTCAATATAAGGTTCTTGTTCTCTTTGAAAATAAAGTTTAAAGTAGCATCATCGTAATTATTGTTTCTCATTGTTCTTAGAATTATGTTTGGGAATAGTATCTTTGAAAAGAATTCATTCAGCGTTTAAACTACAATGACTTTCATGACATATCTTAAAGGGTATGTTATTCTTTTGTTAAGAATAAACCTTTGAATGATAACTTGAATTTAAACTAGCAAAAAATTAGAATATATGCATATGCATTTGTGCATTGTAGAGTAGGATAGAGAAGTCGAGAATGATGGAAAGTGGGAAGTGAATAAGTATATTAGTATGAGATTAAATGGAAAATAGAGTTAAAGCACACTGTATGAGTATTAGACAGAACAGAGGATAAGAGAATTAATTCCATTTTGGTCCATAAAACTTTCAAAGAAACTGAAGGAGAATGATGAACATAGATCAAATGGGTCACCCCACTAGCCAAATCCCACCACTCTGTGATGGCAAATCATATAATTGAATAGCATCAGCAAGTGCTGCCACGGGATTTTCGTTCTCATTTTCTTTAAGCCATGCTATGGTTCACAAGAATATGGTTCTATTTTCAAAATTAACAATGTGCAATGAATGAACCTTGCTGTAACATCGAACTAGTTGCCACTCTGTGGCTGCGTTATCGTGACGAGACTATAGTATATGTAAGGAAAAATGAATTTGTATTAGTTTGGAAGATTCTTCTCTGGAATTTGTTCTTGCACCCATCAATTAAGTCTCCCTCTCCCTCCCCATACACTCTAATTATAGTTTTGGTTATGTTGTAAATGAGGACAATACCCTTTTCTTCACATCATATTTTTTTTCTTATACAAATTAAATTAAGATAATGTATAATTTCACCATTCACCTTAAAGTTTGTTATTTTATTTTATTATTATATGGCTTAATTTGGATAAAATTTTGAAAGAAATTCTTACAAGAATAAAAAAAATTAGTATAAAAAAATGAATAAATGACAATAACATGAATTGAATTTAAAGAATAAGTTGTTTTGAACTTTAAAAAGTTATATTTATTGTTTATGATGTGTATTTTTTTTTTGTATAAAGACTTATTTAAAAGTTTATCTAAAATAAATTATATTATTATCATTTATTACAGCCAGTTTAATTGATCTATAATTTTGTGAAACAAAATTAGATACAATTTTTCTTTTTGGGAGTTTTAGAGAAAGAAAAACTAATAAAAAATATATTATAATAATTAAAAATGAAACATTAAATTTGAATGAAAATTATTTTGATGTCAAACCTATATATCTATTATCGAATTAAAATACAAGTAGTACCACAAGCAAAGCTCAAACAATAATTTTCTACCACAATTTTATCGTTTTTATGAAAAACGAGGTTTTAAATGCTAAAAAAGTGTCTATGTGCACAAGTAATTTAAAGGAGATAAATTAACTCTTGATTGGATAAGCTTGTAAATAAGTTGTAATAGAAAAAAATAAAACAAAAATAAAACTTTTTCTATAAGTTAAAATTAACTTTTATTTTTTTATTTTTTTTAAATTAATCTTATTTAACTTTTATTTTTTTTATTTTTTTTAAAATTAATCTTATTTAACTTTTATAAAATTTGAAGAAATAATGTCATATATTATCCTTCATAAGACTTGTTCATAAGTTTACTCAAACAATGTCATATATTATCCTTCCTGCAAATTAAGGCAATACTAACAAGGCTAAAACAAGCTATACACATTATCTCCTCTCTAGCAGCTCCTTTGCGTTGGGTTTAGGTGAACCACGCAAGATTCATAAAAGTGCCAAGACTCAAAATCTTCTTTTCAATCTTATCATCCAAGAGGAGAGGGACTGATGTGGTAAAAATAATTCCAGAAAGAAAATATGTTTCTGAATGGCCCTATATTCAAAAATAATTTTAAAAAACTCATTTTTCTGAGTTGTAATCTCATCATGCACTGTGAAATTTTGTGTGTGCTTAAAGAAGGAAAAGGGCAAAGCGACGATGAATGTTGTGGTCATTTTGTGGAAAAAAAATATATGAAGAAGGTTGACTACGGACTAAGGACGACGCATGTTATGGGTCTAGTGTGTCTAAACTGCAGTACTTTGCTGTAGGAGTGAGGTCCAGACATTAATTATTTGCATTGAAATTGGATATTTATTGGTTGATTCGTGTTATCAGTACAGCTTAGCAAGAACATGCAGTTAGTACATTTTTTTATGGTGACAAATAAACTTTCATTAGTCATACATAGATTACAATTTATTTATTTTATTGGAGTTGGTGTTCAAATTCTGGGAAACCATATATTCAGTTGAACATCATTAGGCTGATATCTCCAAGTTTTGTCCTTTCTTGAATTGATTAGTAACAAGCAATAATTTTGATTCAAACCAAGGGTAACAATATACATGACAAATAATGCACTAATAGTTAGCAGCAGAAAGAAATAAAATTCCCTAGAACTTTAGACCTTATCATACAAAAAAATTGTCGCTCCAATATGAATTATGAAGGACAATTCTCAGCTTTGGCAACTAGGCTTATTAAGAGTCAACGGAAGAAGTTTATGATATTCTTCATACTAACTAGGCAACACAAGAAGACAAGCATGAAGGATTATTTTCATAATGGTTTAGGTACTGAATTGCGAAAATGGGTTAGGTTGCCAGTAACATTTCATTTTTTTAACCACAAGGAATGCATAAATTTGAAAGGAAATGCACTCATTTGATCTCATTATAAGGATCACACATCTCAAATTATCTTCCAAACCATTTGATGCATCATAATGTTGGGAAGGATCATATTCATCAGTGCAGTTTCTCTAGCAACAATAACAGTCATTCTCTTGGCCTTGCTATCACCAGTGTCCCACAAGAAGATCCATTCAAGGCCATGGTTGGATCTATCCTTGTACATCCAACAACCTCAAATAACAACCTCAAATCCTCACCTTGTACCCAAGGAACATGCTGGAGCATTCATGTTTCACCGTGTGCTTACTGAGGGACCAGAGAGCACTTCACAAGTCATAGGGAAAGCACAAGGGTTTGTAATTCCTGTGCAGCAGTTTCAACAATCAGCATTCAATGTTATATATCTGACCTTTGACACACCAGATCATTCAGGTAGTTTGAGCTTGCAGGCAATGGATGTAACTCACAAGGACGATGAAAAATTCAGGGTGGTTGGAGGAACAGGTTCATTTGCCTTTGCTCGTGGTGTTGCACTTTTTACTCAAACTGAGAGACAACAAAGTGAAGTTGCTGCTACTTATCATGTAAAACTTCAGCTTGAATTCCCAAACCATTCCCACAAGTTAAGATGATGATGATGAAGACTTTGCTTTTTTTTTCTTTAATATGATGCTGATTATTTTTTCTTGTCCCAAGAATTTTTAAACTAAAAAAACATAATATAAAAACAAATAATTTTTTTTTCACAGATTAAAAATAATTCATCTTTTCAAGTTTCATGAAAAGTAAACTCCTGAAAAATGTAAAAATATAAGGTAATTATGAAAAAAATATATTATTATTTTATTATTTTTCTATTGCTAGTTCCATTAACAAAGAAATTGTTTGGTATACCTGATCAGTGCGTCAACAAAAAGTGTGTTCACAAGCGTTTACGAGAATATATAGAATGATGTCTATGTTGACTTCATAGCAGAAGAATTTTAACATATTTTTATTATTAAGAATAGTTTTTGTCAAATAATAATTAAAAATCAATTTTAATTAATTATTATCTAATTAATGTAATAATTTAGCACTTTTAATAGAGGTATTTTAATAAAATCAAATTTTTTATTATAATAATTAGTCGTACTAGTTATTTTCTTAAAACATGACATTAATATATTAAGTAACATGTAATATGAGCAAGAGATGGTTTAATCTTAGGATACACATGTTTTTATTATTTTACCGTATTGCCCCTCAGTGTATGTGTCATTCCGATTCAATCTAACTCAAATCCGAGCCAGTCACGAGTTAAGTGGTCGATGGTAAGTTTAATAATTATATTTATAAATATTATAATATAAGTTTAAATTATATTAATAAATTTTCAAAATTAATATTAATTATTTTTCTATAGGTAAATCTATATTTTAGAGAAATTGAGGGTAATTTTAAAAAGGTTAAAGAAGTTATATGAGAAATTCCAAAAAAATCAGGGTAATTTGTGCCTATTTTTATGGATCCGGATTTAATTATTTAAAACATAATATTTTTTTAATTATATGATCAACCATTAATTAGATAAAACAAAGTCGATTGAACTGGACATAAAGAAGTAAGTTTTAAATCATAAAAATGGATATTTTGAATTTAGCTTGTCTAAATTCATAAATAAGTTTACACGTTACCTATTTTGTTTTATTTTACATATTTAATAAAACAATTAGTTAAAAATTAAAATCTTATTAAAAAATCGATAGCTAAAATATATAATTTTACCATATATTTTATTACTTGTGGAAGTCATACACTTTGGATATATAAAACAATTCCAATAATCAAATTTTTAGATACGAGCCTTCTAGTTAAGTACTCTTGCATACCACTCAAACGGGTATTTATTGTTTGAATAATACAAATAACATTTTTCTTTTAATATAATTTTTTATTATTAGCTAAAATTTATTTAAATTATAAAATTATTTAAATTTTATTTTTTATTTTTAAATTATTATTTATTTATTTATTTATTTATTTATTTTTAAATAAATCTTAGCTAATAAAAAAAAAAGTATATTAAAAAATGTGAGATGGCCTCCTGCGGTGGCCGGGATGGGGACCGGATGCCCGCTGCGGTGGAGGAGGTGGGCTCGGCATCATCGGCCTCTCGGTGAAACCAACTTTCCTTACCATAAACTCTGAATCTGCAAAAACAGTTAATGTGGTGACTTGAAATTGTAATTAACATTTGATTCAATATATATATGACATTTGGTGAAAGACAAACCTCCAAAAGCTTTAACAGAGTGCATCAACAAATGAACACACACAATAAATCCAACCACTTTGAGGAAACGGGCTAAGGAAGACACACCCATCTTCTAATTAATCTAATCTCTAATGCTATTTGTTCATTGCTTCATCTCTTTCTAATTTATTTATAGACGCATCAAATTCCATTCTTCAAAATTCCAACTTAATTTATCATTCTCCCACAAAAGGGACACAATTGCAACGTTAACGTCAAGTTAATGTCATATCCCACCAATCTCATTCTTAAATTTCATAATGAGATTTAAATTAGTAGTTTCGTGGAAATTCTTTAAACCTTTTGCGCCTAATAACAATTATTTTACATATATATTCTTTTGCGTCAAGTAATATTCTTTTTGAAATAAATAAATATTTTTTATTTTATTTTAAATTTAAAAACTCTTATATTTATTTAAAATTTTTATCTAATTTACGCAGTGAAATCCATATTGTTTATGTAAGTTAAATATATATATATAAGATAAAATATGGAAGACACGTGTCAGTTACAAACACATGTACGCGCAGGTCTCGCCCTGTATTATTGACCGCAAGTGAAAACATAAACTAAAACAGTCAAAGAAGGAAGATACTTGTTCTTTGCACCAAATACTAATTAATATCCTCACTCAACAATTTTAAAAAAATACTATTAATTTATAAAAAATTATTTATTAATTTTCGAATAATATTCTTAAATTACTAATTAAAATTACTTATTTAATAAATTATCTGTCAGACCCCTCTTGTTAACGGCTAAAAGATTTAAATAATATTAGTTTTTTAAAAAATTACTAATTTGCTACGGAATGCCCCTGTTTCATATTTAAATTAGATGAAATTAATTTTTTTATTTTTTTTAATGGTTTCACCTTAAATTTGAACGAAATGGATAGAATTTGAATTTTTCTTTTCCACTCCGCAACACATGGGCCAATCACATAGTTTCATCGCTGAGTCAGACGAAAAGGTGATTTTATCTGAATCAGAGACAAAATTACGTGATTAGCCCACGTGTCGGTAGAGCAACGGTCCCTGCGTCTCCCTCTTCCCTTCTCCCCTCTGATGGTTCAGTTACCCACTTCCTCCATTTTTTCTGTTCAGCGTGATTCGTGAGTGAGATTGGTAATCCATTACATTATTATGTCCAAATCTGCTTTGTTTGCAACGATTGAAGGTGTTTTTGGAGTGAAAGGTTGAAGAAGTTGAGACGGCACAGTTTACCGTTTTCAGAGAAGAAAGATAGCTGGAGGTCGCTAGAGAAACGTCGTCGTCGTCCGGATAACTTGGTGGTGTCACTGGGAACCCTCTATTGCTAGAAATCGCCACCTCCGACGCCGAAAATCACCACTTTACAGGCAGAAATCTATCAGGTTTTTTTATTTTTAATATAATTTATTTTTACGTTTTTTTTTTTGCTTTTTATTAGTATGGTACTGTAATAGAAAAATTTATTGTGACCAAAATTTTATAATAAAAATAATATTAAAAATAAAAAATTTATAACTAAATTTTTTTAATTTTTAGTCTAAAAAAATTTAAAGAAATATTTAGATAAAAAATGTAATTGAAATAATTTTGTTAATTTTATAAAAATTAAATAATAACCATAATTTTGTGAAATTAAATATTTGTAGTAATATTTAGTATAAAAATTAAACTTGCATGTAGAATTAAGGCAATAATTTGATGTATAAATTTAAAAACAACTAAAAAATAATTTAAAAAATTAAATACAATAATAAATAGTTGAATAAAATTTAGAATAGAAAAATAGAAAATAATTGTAAATGATAATTAGAAAATAGTATATAATATAACAAATTAAAATAGCAGAAAAGAAAAGTGGCTATGAATGTATGAATAGTCCATATATAAATTTGAAGAAAAGAAAAATGAAAGTAAACATGACATTAATTTCGTGGAACATTCGCCATTGAACCCCCAATTCTGCATTTCTATAAGTCGCATGACTTTAACACTCATTAAAATTTATAAAAAAGATTTATTATATTTTAGATTTAATATTTTTATAATAAATATTAAATGTTTTGATAAAATTTATTATTTTTTAATATTTCAAAACTAGTTTCTATATTTTGTCTCAATAAGAGGTAAAATAAAAAATATTGTAAAGGTAAATTAATATGGAACAAATATAAGATGACAAGTTTATATTGTTTAAATAAATAAAAATAGAAAATTATTTATTTATTTTAGATGAGAAAAATTTTAAAATAAGTAAATATATAAAAAAAAGTTTGCAATAATAAAAAAATATTTTTATATTGTATAAAATATTTTTAATAAAAAATTATTAAATTAAAAAATAAATAAATACCGGCATCTCCTCCCCAAAATTTATTCCACGTTAGGGGGGAAGAATGAGAACTCTGAAGTACTTAAAAAGATCTCCAAAAGTGATAAAAAAATATTTCTCTTAATTTTTTTACTTAATCATACTTAAACAAAAAAACATAATTATATAAAAGAAAAAATAAAAAAAATAATCTTATAAGTTTATTTTAAATACCCTCGAAACTAATTATGTGTCGATGACATCTTAAAAGTTTTTATTTTATCTCAATATGAATTAAATATATAAAATAAAATAAACATTTGAACTTTATCAAAATAAAATATAAACCTAAATAAAACAAAGTAATCACCAGCAGAGAAAAAAAAAAAAAACCCGATCCCTAAAGAAGTTTAACTAAAATTAATAGGGACAAAGTAATCACCTACGATAAGATAAAAAATAATTTCTATACCTATATATTAATTACATACTTTTAAATATTTTTTAAAAATAAATCTTTCAATTATTCTCTAAAATTATAATTAGTAATCATTTTTATTCTTAAGATTATGAAAAAGAAACCTTAAAATCAGTAAGTATTGATATTTTAATTTGTGATGTAAAGTGTTTTTTATCAATTTAATTATAACTCTAACAATTATTAATATTTTAGTTTCTAACTTTAGTGCACATCAATCAACTTAGTAATAATTTATCCATGCGTCAACTTGATTCCTAATGTCAATAATCAAATCCACTAAAAGGAAGCAAAGCAAAATCCTTCGTAGCGATGTACATTTTAAACGGTAAGAGATACATGCTCTCTTTTTTAAGGGAATATTTGAGAGGGGATGCATATTTCCTAATTTTAAATTAAAAATATTATATTATTTATGATAATTAATATAATTTATATTTTAAAAAATATTAATTTAAATATATTCATTTAAAATATAAAATTTATCTTTTTCTTCTCCTTCCTCCAAAATTTTTCTTTCTAAACAATGCAAAGGGGAATTGAAGTTAATTATCCATTTAACGTGTATTGTTTATGATTTTACATATATTTCAATTTTATTAGTTATGATAACTATTATTAGTTTTTCAACATGAACTAAAATAAACACATCAATTTAATTGTAAGCTTCCAATTGAATCACTTCAATCAGTTGTTGCTATCACTCTATTATTATTATTTTTTGAATTAAAGAGAGTTTTATTAAAGAAAAAAAAAAGAACAGTAAATTCTCTTATTAGAATGCTAATTCACACAGTGAACACAACATAATTTCATATTATAAAGAAAGAAAAAAAACATAATTAGCAGAAGAGCCCGCCCATGTTTATGACCCATGACCCGGGGCTTGCTGAGGATCCGCCCGAGGTGCAGGAGGTGGGTTTAATTGGTCGCCAAGAAGCTTCCTCTGATTCAGAAATTCTACCAAAAATAAAAAAGAAAGATAAAAACATAGTGATTAGTTAATAAAGCTTACTTATCAACAAAATTTGCACTAATATATGTTGATATAATCCCTTAATTATTAACCCCACATTTGAAATGTCCCTAAACTTGAACTTCTAACAAAGCCAATCTATCATGCACAATATCAATGAAAAATAATGGGTAACATAAATAGTTCACATTAACATATGGAAAATAAGCTGCTGCTAGATAGCTAGGCTTTTTACAAAGGAACTATGAATCAGATAGTTTAAATGTTTAATTAAGACATGATAAATTGAAATCTATTGACCAATTCACGATTGGTTGTGATCACTAGACTTCTTCCAGGTTTTCAATGGATGTTTCTTTCAGATACTAACTATTGATAAGCACTTCCATGATAAGAGTGATGTAATTAAATGCCTTTGAGTTTTGAATTTTCACAATTTTATTCGTAAATATAAAAATACAATTTCATCAAGACAAACCTGCACTAGCTTGAGTCGACAGCATGAACAAAAGGGATGCAATTAATAGAAGCACAATCATAAAACGGTAGAAGGAATGCAAACCCATCTCCTAAGTTTAAATGCCAATGTAAAAGCAAGTCATGGAGTGATTCAAATTTATAGCCTCATGAAATTTGCATGTCAGATTATTATTATTATTTGCCCTAGTTAACTATTATAGGTCCATTCGATGAGTAGTAATGAAATTTTTTATTAATTTGACAAAACAAGAACAATTGTATCTGTTCAAAAATAAAACAAAAATTGATGCAGAGGTATCTATAAAACAAAGAACTCGTCATTTTATTGACAATTGTTTCAATGTTTATATTCTTTTTCATGAAAATTTAACATATTGATGTATTTAGGCATTGAAAGATAATGTACGCAGAAATGGTCATGACGACTTACGAGTCTGACTTCTAAGTTCTAACACCGTTTAAAAGAGGAAACTGGTGATTACATCATTAGTGGACTAAGCACCAGTTTAGATTAATTTAATTATTTTGAGTTCAAATGGAAATTTTAAGTTTTAAAGAGTTCTTTTTTTTTTTCTCCAATGATTATTTTTCTTCATAAAAGGCTTTCTCAAATAATCATTATCTTTATTGGTGCTTATGTAAAGACTTCAGCATGTTAATCTCTTCATATGTAAGCCTACTTAAATACTTTATTATAAAGGAGATATTTAAATAAGATTTCATGATAAGCCCAACTTTTAAAAATGTTAAGAGAAGCTTTGAAAAAACAAAACTTATTTCAACGGTCTTATGTTTGAAAAAAATAAGACAGACACGTTAAAATAAAGTCTAATTTAGCTTAAGCTCATTTACACTCATATGTGGTAAGTCTATAATCAACAATAATATTATTATTTACAAAAAAAAAAGAATAACATTTAAATTTTCAACCTACAACTAAAGTCAGTCGGACTAAATTTGTTTATTTTGAACTTTAATTTATTCTGAATAGACTAACCTTATATTTTGACTGCATGCATGTTTCGTAGAAATTTCTATCTTGTTAAGACAAAAAAGAAAGAAGTAATCAATTTTATTTTTATATTTTTTGCTTTTCACACTTTATTTATTTGCTTTTGTGAGCTTTGGGTGGATTTGTAAAAAAAAAAGATTAATTTTTATGAATGATGTAATTATATACTTATTTAGTACATTTAACACGGGGAGCGTATATCAAACTTAAACATGATTCTGTAAAATTTATTGAAATAAATTAATTAAAAAATTTATTTTGATAAAATTGATTGTAAGACTTATTGAAATAATGTTTTAAAAATATTATAATTACAGAAGTCATAAATCTTATGAGAAATTAACCTATTAAAAAATCGACAAAAGAAAGTAACGACTTATTTGAATGTATGAATAATTTTGAATAAATATAAAATTTTATAAATATAAAGAATATGACATAAACTTTCAATTAATGAAAATATTTTGTGAGAAATTCTATAAAAAGCTATATAGTGTAATAAAGATATGAATTTAGACTAATATGAAATGATCTCTTCGTATTTATATACTTAAGAAATCAAATTCCATTAGGAGAAGAAGTCGTCAGCATGCATAATTTTTATTTATTTAACAAAATTAACTTATCAATACAGACATTGCAGATTTATACTATTGGTTATATGCATCGATGAAGTAAGCATCAATAGATATTTATTCAAAATTATCAATCTACAACTTGGCATCCAATTGAGGTTTACCGAAAACATAAAAAATAAAAATAAAAATCCAAACGAGACAAAGCATGCATAATTGGTTTATATATATAAAAAAGAAAATAATAAAAATACAAAAAAATTATTTACATTGAAACTCATCAAGGCTCAAAGATTCATTGAATAGCATGCATGCTTTCTGTTCATTGTGCGTAAGAGGCAAATGCTGTTATTTTGTAATGAAGTAAGGAAAAGTATATGCTTACAAGTGTCATCATGATTTGCACAAAACAATATTTAAACAAAGCAATTTTGGGATTCAAAAACTAAATTGCGAAGTCCCAAACATGGGACTCTTCAAAGCATAATATCAGCCTTCAAAGTTAAGGGAATGACTTTGCCTTATAATACATGTAACATCCTATTCCCTCAAATATATAAATCCAGATTTCAAAACTCAAGAACAGTATTTGAAAAAATGGAAAAAGAAACCTTATACGTAATCAATGCAACGCCCCCACAAATATATTTCTTGTTAATTTACAGCATTTTTATTGAATTAGATTATAGTTACATGCTGTTGTATAATTCATGCGTTGATCGACCATGTTACTCTCTCCAATAGTTGCTCTCTTGGGTCGTGTTATTCTTAAGCAGATCCTCGTGCGTGAGGGGATGCTAAACCCAAAGAGACAATAACTTTATAGCACTCTGCATTGCGTATATAACCAGCCAAATCAAGTTGTAAATTAGCATGCTAAGCGCAGCTACCAAAGTTCTTCACGTGCATGTGCTTTGCTTCAATTTCATTGCAACAATGTATGTAAGGAAGGATGAAGATTAAAAAAAAGGAATATGCAGAGAACGATAAAAAGGAGAAACAATCTTCTCATTAATCCGTGGGAGCTAAAAGGAAAGTTAGTGCTAATTTTGATTATAGGATAACAGTGTTTTTAACCCTCTTTTTAAGGCGTTATAGGTTTAATTATTTATAACTCTATTTTCCTTAAATCATTTTCCAAAAATCTTACCAAGTGAAGTGTTTTGATATGTGACCTGCAGATATATTATATCATTTTCAAATAATTTTCCGTATTATGTTCATGCTTATGGTATCTCATCTCAAATTGGACATACAAGTATTTTAAAGATAAATTGCTAAAAACTTAGTTTGATCATATACATGGCAATCAGTTGAAATTTAAAAGTTAAAAATTCTAAGACTGAAAATTAACTATAATTTTCTAAATTTTTGGGTTCTTAAAAAATTCGTCCAATTCTCATATCTTTCGTGGATAAATCACAACAAGGATATTTGATTTTAAAAAAAAAAATAGATGTAAATAAAATCAATCTTTGTTCTATGACATTTTACCATAATGACATTTTTCACTTCTCTAGATCATATACATTGCCGTCACATTTCGATCGATTTTTTTCTAGATCAAAAGTGTCTTCAACAAAGGGTAAACAACATAGTATGATTGATTCTCATATTTCAATTGCTTTTGACGCAATATTATCGAAAAGAGTTTTGAATTTTTTTTCATATCCCATTTCTTTCATTCTTTTGACTACATTATTATCACATTTTTGTTTTCTATCTCTTACTTTTATCTTTCATTTTTTTTTTTTTATCTTTCTATTCTTTCTATCTATATAAAATAAGATTTACTGATAAAAAAAACAAATCTTCAATAATAATATTTTGATATCCTCTTTTTTCACGTTATCTTTTTACCTTATATAGGAAGAAAAGCCCCCAAGGAAATGATCAATATTGAGGACAGCATATGAAAAGGATTTTTATCAAAGATTTTAATTTTTAACATCTTGTTTCCTTTATATTTATTTCTTATTTTTATCATATTATTTATTCTTTCTTTCTTTTCTATATATTTCTCTCTTTTCTCTGCACTAGTCGGGTGTGAATTAATAAACACCATTTTTCATTACACATCTTTGCAATTCATTTTATTTTCTTATTCACAGAAATAGTTAAATTACTCAATTTCTACTTTTTCCTCTCTCTTTTTTTGTTAATATAATTTTTTAAAAATTTAGATCAATTATTAAATAACATTATATAATTATATTAAAGAAAAAAATTAAGTATTTTATCAAATTTAAATAATATATCCTACTATCAGTGTAACAAAAATTATATCATTCTATTTTTATTAAAAACTCATCATGTTTGCTTAATAATGTGAATCAAATTCTTTTTCTCTGTAAAAAATATTTTCTAACATATTCTTTTAAATAAAATTTTAGTTATTAGTTAAAATTTATTAAAAATTATATAAATTTCACTCTTTTATTTTTAATTTAATAATTTTCTTCGATATTTTTGTAAATTTAATTAATTAAGAATGCATCCAACAGAACCAAGGGCAAATCCTTTTCGTGCATGTATGAACACCTAGCTATAAGAATATGAATACATGAATCACCTTTGCAAATCCCCTTATCAAATTACATTTTAAGTCTCTACCACCATTCATGGATCCACCACCCCACTCCACCATCTCACTAAACCACCCTGATTCAGTAGATTCCTCTCCCCGTTATCGCATGATCGAAACCTGGCACGATGACCCACTCGCACACGTGCCAGGTGCAAAGCTCCGCCTCATGTGCAGCTACGGCGGCCACATCATGCCACGCCCCCACGACAAGTCCCTCACCTATGTCGGCGGCGACACCCGCATCGTCGCCGTTGACCGCCACTCTTCCCTCAAAGACCTCTCTTCTCGCCTATCTCGCACCCTCCTCCATGGCAGAACCTTCACTCTCAAGTACCTCCTTCCCAACGAAGACCTCGACAACCTCGTCACTGTCGCCACCGACGAAGACCTCGACAACATGATCGAAGAACACGACCGTTTGACCGCGAAACCTTCTTCCCCTTTGCGTCTTAGGTTGTTCTTGTTCTTCAACAAACCTGAAACTGCTGTTTCCATGAGTTCACTGTCTCTCCTCGATGATGCCAACTCGGACACGTGGTTCGTGGACGCTCTGAACAACTCGGGGATTTTATCACGCGTTGTTTCCGATTCTGCGGTTGCTTCGGATTGCCTGGTGAACCTTGATGCTTGTGATTCGAGCAACAACTTGGAGGTTGATGGATCTTCAGTGGCTAATCTGCCTCCGATACGGGTTCGTGTTGTTGATGATAATGGTGGCGGGGTTGAGAGGGTTGTGATGGAGGAGAGTTTTGGTATTGGTGCAAAGCAAGATGATGGGTATGGAGTTTCTTCTTCTGGTGGTCTGAGTGTGGTTAATAATAGTAACAGCAACAGCAACAGTAACAGTAACAGTAACAGTAACAGTAACATTGGTGATCATGATAATGTGAATGGAGTTGTTTCTGTCTCTGAGGATGAAAGATCAGAATCAGATCATCATGGTCATGGGGGACATAGGAAGCCACCTTTGCCATTGCAACTTGTGCAACCAAGGACTAGTTGTGCTTTTAGTTTGCATTCTCCAGATTCAGTTGCAAGGTATTCATCCTTCTGTGTCTAATTAAAATCTTCCCTTTTAGGTTTGATGTTATTGGGTGGTAATGATATTATGTAAAAACTGTTCTTTTTTTGTTTATGCTATTAGGGGCAACTCTTTCAGAAGATTTTTAATTTCTTAAATATTAAAACGTTACCAAAATATTTTTTAAACATTAAAAAACGTAATATGCTATACGAAATTATTTTTATATACACTTATTTTAGAAACGTTGCCTAAATTCGTCTCAAATCCAAACCTAGAAGGAGGATTAGATTAACCTTCGGTAATCAAAGAAAAACTCGTCGAAACGTATCTTAAAAATATGTTCTAAAATTAAAAGAATTTTTTTTTTATTATACTAAATAAGTATTTAACAAAGAGAAATAAAATCAAACTCTGCTTTTTTTAATTGAACCTTGATGTTATTATGTAATGATATTATGTTTTTAATCAAACTATTTTGTATTGTTTTATGTGCCCAGTGATAGCAGTATTTCATCTACTAATTCTTTCTCAAAGATTGTTTACTATCAAGACCAAGTCCAAGCAGCACATGTGGACAACAAAGGTCCAATAACTTTGGCAAATATCAAGAGTGAAATAAGATCTAATCAACACCATGGACTACAAGTTCATGATCCGGGTTACACATCACCCCAACAATTAGATCATCAAAATCATCAACCCCAGCAGCAGCAGCAGCAGCAGCAGCAACAACAACACCAATTTGCCTACATCCACCACCCTTCAGGTACACCTCAAGTGCCAATTTCATCCTACTACCCACTTTATGCCCCAACATCACAACAATACCCAGTTTATGTGATGCCTGTTGGACCTACACAACCGTACAACATGACTTTGCAATCCAATATAACTGACTCAAATGTGGTAGCTTCAGTTAGGCCACTAATACCACAAAGTGCATACAAAGATGGCATTCCACCTATTTATCCCACTAAATCTTCAGCCACCCCAACTATTCCTGATGTGGCTGCAAGTGTTTATAAAGCCCCTTTGGCATCAAATCCTACATTTGTTCAAGTACCTATAAATCAATTTCAGCAACAGAATGTGGGTTTGCCTCAACAACATATCCATCACCCACCACCACAACCTATTGTAGCTCCTACTTCCACCACTAATTATGGTTATGAATATGGTGGACCTACGCAAGATCAGGTATACTATACACAACACCAAGTTACTGCTTCACAGCAACTTCCTCAGTACCAGTCCATGACCCCAGCAATATCAGATGTTTCAACACAGTTTTCTGTAGACAACGTTCAGCAGCCAAGCAGAACTTCACAACCAGTATGAATCAATTAAGTGAAATATATTCATGAGCCATTTTGCTGAAGGCATGTTGAGGGTTGATTGGACTTGTTTTTCATTCTTTAATGATTAATATATGGGGTCTGCTTTCTTAAAAAAAAATAAAGACCAGGTCTTGTGCCTTATTTTTCATATATGGTTTCTGTTATCTATATAAAATAATCTAATGTAAGATCTTATATTTTCTGGTTCTGGCGTGGTGTTATCTAGTAATTAATTCAGTTGAATAAGGCAAACTACTGCCATTAGCTTGTGGAAGGACCTTTTTTTTCGCATTTTGTCGGTTTTTTCTAAAATTTATCATACTTTTGTTGGGTGCTCGAGAGTCATATTTATTTAATTTGTCTTGAGATTAATAGAAACATTAGATTTTTGAAAGTTCTGGTATTTGATTATCTTTACATTTTGTCCTGTTTTGAACATAATCTGAGCTTGCTGAAATAAACATAATTACGCATGTGCATGCTGTGGTTTGAGCAAAATAAAAAAAGATAGGCCAAAAGTTAAATTTTATGACTCATTAATTTGTCATGAGCATTTGATCACACTTGGTTGTAATTGTCAGATTAATGTCCAACCAAAACATGTATCGTGATTCATAAGTTGTGTAAACAATCTTTATATATATAACTTCATATATATAAAGTCGCATTTATGAGTATTTTAAACAAATGAAAATTGCAACAAAATCAACATGGCGCAGGTGGGTCACTCTGCTCTGATAATATTTATTTTTGGCACCAAAGGAATCTATGAACGTGCATGTCGCGTACCGAAGGAATTCCTACCATACTTAACGCAATTTTTTACTACGTTAATAATCAATTGATATAAAGTTAGCTGTAAAATAACTGTCTAATCGCGTAAATAACTAATGCTGATTAGTTTAATATACATAAATAGTGTACACTAATCATACCAAAAAAGCACAATCTCCCTTGAACTCAAGTAGACAGTTTTCACATTAACTTTGAAACCTTGAATTTCGGTCTGCATCAGACAAATTAAGCATTAATTAATTAGCACGTGTTTCTAATAAAATTTTTGCAATTGTTATGATAAAAATATAAAAGAGTAACAGAAAGAAAAAAAAAACACGTAAGAATTATTGTGATTCGACAAATTTATGTATATACAGCTATTTTTTGCTGCATTAGAAAAATATGTCTTTTTAACTTTAAAGTTATGTATATGATAATTTACTTTTTATTATAATAACTTATAACTTCTCATTACAATTCATTAAAATAATAACAATTAAAATTTAAGAAATGTCACTATGCACATTTTTAAACAATTTCAATAGTAATTAAAATATTTAAAAATTAATATTTATTAACAAATTATTTTTCATAAAACAAACATAAATTAAAAGTACTTAACCTATAAGTGTATTCTTGACCCAAAAAAATAATAAACATAGCTGTAATCCTTCCAAAACAAATCAAAATTAAGCAAGGAAAGAAAGTTGATTCGTCTTGTTTCTACAAATCTAACAAAAAAAAAAACTTGATATTTCAATTCTATTTAATGTATATTCTTTTTTTACATATCATAGTATTAGTTATTCTTATTACACTCTTTATTATTTTTTTATTTATTTAATCAAAGTAAGCCATGACAACCAACAACAAGGTTAGAATAATCATTTAAAAATATCACTTATTTAAATTTATTAAATAATAATTTAATTTCAGTTAATTTATTCTCAAACAAATTGTACGATTAATTTTTTATCTATAATATTTTAAAATAATATATATAAAAATATGGTATTTTTTTAAAAATTATGAAAATATAGAGTTTAAAAATTGCTGACAATTTTCGGCATAGGAAAGAATGAAAAATTTATAAATGACAATTTTTCAAAAAAATGTTAAAATTTTTTTTAAAAATATAACTCACTTTTAAAATAATAATAAAATATTCTAAAAATACCAAAAAGTGCTATAAAAGATTTTCCTTTAATTTTACTAAAAAAACTAATTTTTTTATTTTTTATTTTTCTAGTTGATTTCGTACAACAGTGATGCGAGAACTGTGACCAGAGTATAAAGATACTTGTACATAAAAACAAACTAAAAAAGTTATAAAATAAAATAAACTCTAATTACAAATTGAAAAAAGACTAAAAGATTAAGATTATATTAACTTTTCATCATCAATCATCATTACCAGTTGAACATCTAGCTATGCCAGAAAGGACCAAAACGAAAGTGGATCTCGCCTTTGGTAAGAACTTATTTTGTTGCTATTCATAGACATAAGCAAGATAGTTGGAACTTGAAGCTTTCCATGTATAAGAGAGTTAGAACTGCCAGAGTCAGAGTTTAGAGGAAAAAGAGAAGAGAGAACTCATAGTACTTGTTAATTACATTGAAGGCGGTGGTCCAATCCATTACTACAATTTGAAGCTTCATTAATAACACCTTTCAAATTCTGCACACAAAGAAAGGTGCAAACTCTGTGCCATCTTCAACTTCATTCAACACGTGCGTGAATGGCCACCACCCTTTCCTTTTCCCTCTCCACACCCTTCCCAAAGTTCCAAACTTTACCATCCCCACAACAACCCAGAAGAGTATCGTGCTGTCTCAACTCCAACCACTCTCTCCGAGTGGTGTTCTGCGGCGGCGCCACCGGCAGCCACGTGTACCCGGCGGTGGCGATCGCCGAGGAACTGAAAACGGCGAACCCCACGTGCGAGTTCCTCTTCATCGGCACACCCAATAGCATGGAAAGCGATGCAATCTCCTCCGCAGGCTATAACTTTGTCTCTGTTTCACCACCCAATTTCCCTCACCGTTTCTTCGTGTCCCTTTATCAATGCCTCAATCACCTTCGAGATTTCCAACCCCACGTTGTTGTCGGCACAGGTGGACATGTGTCTTTCCCTGTTTGTCTTGCTGCTAAGCTCAGAGGCATAAACCTCGTCATCCACGAACCCAATTCTGTCCCTGCTTTGCCCAACTCTGTTCTTTCCTTCTTTGCTGATGCTATTTTCGTTGCTTTTAATTCTACCCTTGATAGCTTTCCCAGGAACAAGTGTGTGGTGTGTGGGAACCCTGTGAGATTGTCTCTTAGGAACCTTGTTTCTAAGGTGAAGGCAAGGTCTCATTTTTTTGCTGGTTCTGATTCTGAAGAAGGAAAAGTTTTGTTGGTGCTTGGTGGGTCTTTTGGTGCTAATGCGGTTAATATTGCAATGCTGAATTTGTATTATGAGATGCTGAGACAGGATAGTGGCTTGTATATTATATGGCAAACTGGGGTTGAAGTGTTTGATGAGATGGATAGTCTTGTTAAAAATCATCCTCGCTTGCATATGACACCGTGAGTGATCCTTCTTTTGAAACATGTTTACCTTTTTGTACAAGACTCTGGCTAATTAATTTAATGTGTATTTGGATTCACATTTAAATGGCTCCAGATGAAAGTTTATTTCCTCGTTACTAGTTGTAACTTTTGAGATACTTTCCAAACATGCTAGTTGAATTGATTTTGAACTGTTGAATGATACGTGGCTAAATTAATCATGTATTTGATTGGAACGTGTGATTTTTTACTGTGAGTGCAAGAATTATTTTTTAACTTTAAAGTAAATAGGCCTATGTGAGTTAGTAAATGGAACTGTGCTAATATATTTGGAAGAGGGAGATCGTATTGTGATTTTAGAGTGAGACGATTTAGTGATTATTATTATAACTAAACTTTACATCACTCATTCACCGCTCTCCTTTTTTATATAAAAGGAAAAAAAAAAAAAAAAACTCAAAATCAGTTGGGAAGTATGAATAATGTGTCATTGGCACCTTCTTGTTCTAAGTGAACCAGCTGTAAAATGATTGCTAGTCCTATAATGTTGAATTTTCTTTTGTTTAAAATAACATTATTTGATTGTGTAACAGACCTTAGAAGTTGCAAAAGACAGCTGAAGGAGAACTAATCAAATTGACCCTTTACTCCTTTTATTTTTAGGTGGATAGTCACTTGCTATGAATTTGATAATGGTACACATTGGCGAGCTCGTAAATTTTGTGATTAAACTCCTTTTTTAATGATCCATTTACACGGAGGTATAGCAATTAGACTTCATAATGTGAGAAGTCATTTCTTCGCTAGAATAACACAAACCAATGCATGATCCGAAGTCCATTCAATTATCTGTAGTGCACTTCCTGATGTGAAATACCTCTGCCTAGTGCCCGATGCTTTTTGAAATTGACCTGAATGTGAGTCCTGCTTTCTACACTTCAAAAGTAGCAAGCTATTTTAGTGTCCATGGATCAGTTTAAAGTTCCTTTATTCAATATATTGGATAATTTATCTAGGACTTTTCTCCTTCACAATCCCTTCAGCCATGATTCTGTTATATACATCCGCTTATTGCTAAGTACTAGCTAAATTTACTAAAAATTAGTTGTAACTAATTATATAGTATTTTCAGCAATGAGTAAATAATTTGAATGTATGTTATTTCTAAAATTGTTATAACCTTTTGAGTTTCATTTGGAAAATAATTTTTCCTTTTTCCTTTTTTATTTCACTGTGCAATCTGAGGTTTTGTGATCACTTGTCTGACATATCCCCTCTTAATGAAGGTTCATGTATTGTATGGATTTGGCATATGCAGCTGCAGACTTGATTGTTTCTAGAGCAGGTGCAATGACTTGCTATGAAATATTGGCGACTGGAAAACCATCTATCCTGGTAGTTAGATATTTTTTGTTCAGCCCTTAATTTCATTCCGTTTGTTTTTTCATTTAATGCTTAGAGTTGTAAAATATATTATTAGTCCATAGTTTAAAAGCTCAATGCAATAATTTAGCCAAGTTAAGTTGAAGATATTTCTTTAACCTTTATGCAGAATTTTAATCACTGTCTGTGATCGGGTATCTATCCACCAACCCTTGAACTATGCTTAGTCTATATCAAAGATATTTTACGTAGTATATCAAAAGAGATGCAGAAGTTAGACTTGCATTCTTTCTTCAGAAAGTTCATGATGGTACCTACAATTTTGACGGTGTTCAAAAATTTAAATACCTTGTTCCTTTCAATGTTCCATCTTCATTAGGTTGGTTCGCCCAAATGTATGTATTTCGTACAGTAAAGCTGTTTTATGCAACAAAACAAGAAAAACACTATCCAATGAGAGGTGTCTTCCAAATTGCTCTAAATGAGTACTAAAATCTAAAAGAGATTGCTCTAAACGAGTAGTAAAATCTAAAAGATTTTTTTTTCGCTATGCATTAAAAAGATAATGATTGTGTATGAATGCATCAAGATAAATGCATGCTGTATTTTATAACTTAATGTGGGTTACGGTCATGATGTTACAAGGTATGTGATGCTGAACTGCACAAGATCTCCATGCTTTCCTTATTTTTCAAGAATCACATATGTAGTTTTCCTTTTAAGTTGGATCTGCAGCTCATACAAGGGAAAACGATGACCTTTTATACAATTACTATTTGTAGATACCATCACCAAATTTCTCCGAGGGGAATCAATTCAGAAATGCTTCCTTGATGGCAGACTTGGCTGGTGTGAAAGTTATAACTGAGGATGAGCTTGACTCAACTACACTTGCCATTGCAATTGAAGAGATTTTAAGTATGTAGTTTTCATCTTCCATGTCTGTTAAAAATTTCAGGTTTTTGAAATCATCCAGAAATATTCACAGTGCATGCTACATGCTTGGACAGAGAAGTCCTAAATCACCACATTACTGAATATTCTTTGTCACTATCACATACGCCATAAAATCCTGTTAATGGCTAAATCAAAAAGATAAATGCATTAAGATTATTAATGTAGTGTATGATCGATCTCACTGGATTACAAACATAATAAAACTAAAGGTGGAACTGTGGTGATGTTGTGGTACATTCATCATGACCTGGTACTTGTTCAGGGTGGAAGCTTCTTCAAGAATGAACAAGCAGGATCTTGAGCTTTTTCCTAATTTCCAAGCAATAAAACCAATAGTAATAACTGTGAAACATATGCATAGAAAAATGTTGTTCTATAACTATCTCTAAATGTTTATTTAATATAGACACGTATTGTGATATTTTACTGATTATTTGTATAGTTTCAATTAATCATGGCACACTCTTCTAAAATGTAGACTCTTGCATGGTGTTTTAACTGGCTACCAAAATTGAGACTCGAAGCTTAGGAAAGTTTAAAAAGTAAATAATAATTTATCTGTATCTTTCAGAAGAAGTTAAAGCATTCTTTGACCCCAACCATCTTACACAGTTTTTATCCGAAGTGAAACCTAACCATCTTCTGACATTTCTTTTTTCTTACTCCAAATTTTAGTGACTTACAAAGACTACAGTGTTTTTTTCTTTTTTTCTGTCTTGTGTTTCCTCTAGTTTCATACATTCAGTTTTTTCTTCTCACAATTGAGTTGTATATTCATTAGCTTCAGATTAAAGATCACTTAACTCTCCCATTCAGGTCTCATCATATAATATGCTATTAATTAAGTTAGTTGCATGAAGTATGAATTCGTCATCTCCATTAAATAATTCTAAAACTTGGTACTGAATGTTTGAAGCAATATATATATTGTTTCTATTATTTTTCTCTTTCCTTCTTTCTTTATATGGATATTTGAAATGCATGATAGGAGACAAGAAGAAGATGGAAGATATGTCTGAGAGGGCTCTTAAAGCTGCAAATCCCAATGCCTCAGCTGAGATTGCAAAACACATACTCTCTCTTGTAAATCAATCAACCAAAAAGAAAAGAAATGACCACAAAGTAGAATCTTAGAATGGTGGTTGAAGTTCCTGCTTACAACCGATCCCAACTAACTATAAGTTTTTCTTGTGGGCCAATAAAACCTTTAGTAGAAACTGCAAAGAAGAGCCTCTAAACGTGAATTCACCTGTGTCTTAACTTGAAACCAAACATGTCATTACAACATGAGATGATAATGCTAAGTTTGTGGAGTTCATATATTACTGGCACTCAGTTGAGGAAGATTACAAAGATGGAGGCTTTAATTGCTAGTGATGCTCGTGCAGGGAAAAGACATGGGAGTGGTGTGTTTTTGTGAAGAATCATGGAGTGGTGTATTTTTGGTGGTTAACAACTAGTCTAGATATCCTTGTCATCAAGGAAGTACCAAGATGAGTTTGTGTTTTCATGATGGTCCATGTGTTTAGTTTTGCTCTGATAATTTGGGAAAAAGCAAACGTGTGTGGTCTTCAAGAAATAAGCGAGTTCCATTATTGTGAATGTAACATTAAATTCTCCAAGCATTAGAAAACTTGTGAGATATAATAAAATTCTTCAAATATTTGTGGCCTACCTCAAGTTGTGGGCTTCCAGATTCCATTCATTTGAGAGCTGACATGCAATTCTGATTGTGATATCACACCCAATAATTCTGATAGTGATATAAAAAGTCTTGGTTTTTTCACATGACAAAATATGGTTATTCTTTCATTAAAAAAATTATTATTATTTTGAATCCTTAATATATCTTCTTTTGACTTTGTTGTTTTAAAATATATTTCGTTTTCTGAAAATCACATGTATGTTCTGCCAAAGGAAAATTTAAAACTCATTAAAGACTATTCTCGGTAGAAAAATATTTTTCATAAAATCTTAGTAAAATATAAAATTTAAAATAATGTTCATTAATTAACAATAACATGACATACATCTAATAATGTTATATGTCACTTCAAAATAATTGTTTACATAGCTAGACACATGATACATTTTAATCAAGTGATGAAAATCAATTCTAAAATTTAAAATTTACAAAAATCACAAGTAACAAGAATTTTAAAGGTTTAAAAAAAATTATATTTATAGAGATTAAAAACATTTCAATTGTTATTTAATCATTTTAAGTTTGATCAAACGAGATGATGAAGATAGAAAAATGGGAAAAGAATGCACCTACTTCATAAACAGTCCATTGTTTTTGCAAGTGCTAAACAACGGAACTACTGAATCCATGAAAGACGTCAGGTTTTTTATACCATTAGTTGAATGTTTCATTTGAAACAAAAACAAGTTAACATATGCTCATAACAGATATATAGCAACAAAAACTATTTTCATAAGATCCAAAATGAACATAGTTTAGGACAAGCATTCAATTATGAACTCCCCTACTTTATCTCAAAGACACAACTCCATTAAAAAAATGTTACCTGCTCTTAGGCAAGGCCACTCTTGCATAAAATATGCAAACTTGCAAAGGTCTCACCCAATTAAAAAAACCTTTACTCAATAACATATAATTGTCGAACCCATAAGGATGCTGGAGTTTTTAAAGATGAAATGAAGATTGATAGCAAAGAATGAAAATTCTTGCTTATATTGGAATTAAAAACTATACACAAATTTAAGATTGAGAATGGTAGTTGTCCAAAAAAACAATAGGGTTGTGTCACTCAGCGACGAGCCACAACTTGTTGCTTACACACTGGACAGAAATTTTTGTGTGCAACCCATTGTTTTATACACTGGAAGTGATAGCTGTGTTCACAATTTAGCTTCCCCACCTCGTCACCTCCTTCATACTCCTCCTGAACCCAAAAAGCAACATAAACTATATTCAATCATTTTAAAAAATCTAATAAAGCTACCACATTGCATACAATATGTTAAAGATAAGCAATGCATCAATTTGTCTTATGAGAATTTTAATTTCATTACATGCATCAAATATGTTTCTAATTCTTAGATTTTAACATTTTTTTTGTTTTAATCCCTTTGAATAATTTTTTTGTTGTAGTCTCTTGAATTGATTTTTTTCAAAATTTTTTGTTTTAGTCTCTCTGTTGCTGACATTTTGCACTAAAAGATAGTCATGTCATTTTTTTTAACCACATCAGCGAGAAGAGTTAAAAATAAAAAATTACAAAAATATCAGAACCAAAAGAAAAACTAACATATATATAAAGACCAAGAATATATTCAAGCCTTTATTAAATTTACAAACTTACCTGGCAAATGCTGCACTTTTTATCTATACGATTCTTTGTTAGATCACAAGAAAACTGAAGCAAAATTTTCCTTATGTTCCGCCCCATCTCATCTTCTTTCAGTCCAGTGCTAACATAACCAATTCTCTCACCAAGCTCCAGCAATTGCTATCAATCACAAACAAAGAATTTAGACAAACAAAACAATCTACACAAACAATATATCAATAGCTTGAGGATATAATTATTGCAAAAGAAAATAAACAACTTCACTTGAGAAAGAACTCACCTCATATGACATGTTATCAACATCAAGCCTCCAGTCTCTGAATTGATCATGTGAATTTAATCGTCCCCCCATTAGAAGACTCCCTTGAAGCATCATTATCTTCAAAGTGCCAGGAAAAATCATGATATGCAATATTAACTCCAGGAACAGAAGCTAGGCAAAGAAATGATTGGAAAAAACATAATGCTCCCATATGTATGTATTCATTATAAAATTATAACTTCCATTAACTTCAATGCAATATGTGTCAGTCATGAGTAATAGTTTAAAGTTAAAACAAGAGCATATGTTTGGTGTCTTATTCTAGGCAACTGAAGACCATGTCTACACAAGAATCTCAACCCACTCCTACCAATCAACGTATGCACTCACACATGATAACATAATAATGACCTATAAAATCAGTTCAATTGAAAAGATCTGAACCAAAAACAATAGTTTTCCTGCCACAATAGACAGACATCAACGCAATTGACACAACTATACCTACACAAACCAAGATCAAACTTCTACAAAACACAACAAATGTGATCAAGATTCTAATTCACCAAATTACATATCAAAAAATTATTATTTTTAAGCAACGAAACCATCAAAGTTTACATGCAGTAAAAAACAATACTCAATTCTTAAGTCAATCTATTGTTACAATACAGCAGTAGTAGCCAACACATTCAAGTCCTATACACAGTGACTCACAGCAACTAACTTGAATTTTGAATTTTAACATGTTATTATTTTTTGAAAAATAAAAAAGAATAACAGCAAATTACCATCTTTTTGATTAAAAAAGACAATTTTTTGCTGTCAGAGGAAGAATTGACAAAAGGGTATATTAGAGCACGAGGCAACCTCGGCAAAGCCATCAGAGGAAGAATCTGTAACGTGACGATAGTATGTTGAGGTTCCAAAAGTGTTTGAGGCAGAGCGTGGTGTGAAAATGTCAGGGTCAGTGTTGTCCAGAAAAGTGAAGGTTTCTGTGCGCCTTCCCATGTACGATGAACGCTGCCAATGTATTTAATGATGAAGCAGTGTTTAAGTTCATGACAATATCAAAGGCATTGTGAAACAAAAACTATGATGAAACATAAAAATCAAATGAAAATCCCAAAAACTCGTTCACGTGTCTATGTAAAACCATAAAAAACGGATCACAGTCTCCCACTAATGTAACTACTTTAAAAGGGTCCACAACAAACCAATCAAAAATTCCTCCTTGCTTCTCTAACTAGGTGAAGAAATTTTAAATACAAAAAAATAGAAAACGAAATGAAACTTTGAAAGCAACATTTTTTACATATTTTCCTCAAATTAAAATTATTTGATGGCCTAGTGTGTGTTTGAATTAGCTAAAAAAAGTAAATTATTTCAATAATGGATTGTATGTATAACTGATTATTGTGATAATCGACAGCGAAATAAGTTTTGTTTTTGATTATGTTATATAAGAAATGATTTTAAAATAATCTATTATATTTAGATTGTATAAAACAATCACTTTTTCAAGGATGAAATTACAAAAAAATAAAAAGTTTCATCTCATAGTTGGTTTAGTATCTAAATAATAAATCATGAAGGATAAAATGAAAAAAATAAGATTTAACCAGAAAATACTCTAATAGTTTTTAATCGAAGATTGTAGACTGATTTTTCCAAGCTCAGCAAACAAAAATGAATATTTATAGGCTATTTTTCACATAATCTTCCAAAAAAAATACATATATAATCCAAAGAGTATAAACAATTGTTTTAATATCGAATAGATAACATGATCAGATATCACATGCACTAAAAAAAACAAAAATTAGCCCCATATGAAAACGATCAAAGACTTCAGGCCCATACATTTTAAAAAAATTAAACTTTGTCTTGTATATATTTTATATTTTAAGGGAATTTAAACAGAAAAAAAAGTGGCATGGGACTTCGGACTGCGAATAAAAATCAAAGGAAAACACACTTCAATGTTCATCAACACAAAAACCAGTGATCATTTTCTACCTTGCCATCATAATGATTTATGAACAGATCATCAGAAATTACTAATCAAGAAAGGAAGACCAAACAAGAATGTCCGTTCTTCATGCGCAGCAAAAAAGATCAGTTTGGTATGGGAAAAAATGGAAACTTTATCAATGCAAATTGTCCTTGTCCATGAACAACACAAGGAAGAGGCAGAGAAAAAAAAAAGTAAAAAAAAACTTTTCAACAGATTTAGGTACGAAATCATTCCACAACAAAAGGGTAAGCAACAGAAGAAGGATCAAAGGTTGCAGAAATGAGAATACCTCCCTGTGAGAGATCTTCTCCACATCAATTTTGCCTCTTGAAGACACATTCTTCCTAGCCACAACACAATCAACAGAGGCAGCAGCATCTGCTGAGAACCCAATTCCAGGGCCACACCAAACATCTTGAAAATCAACACAACCAGGATTGGAACCTTCTAGACCTCCACCATGGCAAGCCTTGTTCTTGTTACTGCTACTGTTCCTCTTGTGCTTCTTTTTTCTGGTTTTCTTCCCTTGCCAATCAGCGGAGGTGCGAATCACCGCTGGCACCGACACTTGCTGCGACGCCCCGGCGGTGCAGCCCAACCCTCTGAAGGTTGCTGCAGAAAAGTTGGTTTTTTTCCTGCCATTGATGGTGTGGGTCTCATTGGAGGGAGAGGAGGTGTTGGAGAATGTGGAGAGGAGCAGGGAAGAAATGGTGGACTTGCAGCGAGTGGATTGGATTATAGAAGGGATTTGTGGGTTTAGATCTGTTTCTGAAATGGGGTGGGGGTGGTGGTGGTGATAGCTGAATTGATTTCTGGGTCTTCTCCACTTGATGTGTTCTGCTGCTGTTGTTGTTGCTGCTGTTGTGTCTGTGACAACAGGCATGGTTGGCTCAGACGAGAGAGAGAGAGAGAGGGGAAGAGAGGAATGGGACTTGAGAATGGGGATTTTGGAAGGAATATATTTTGATTGATTATTATTGTTTGAAATAATGATTTTTAATTTGTGGGGTGCACTTTTCTTCTGGGGTTGTTAGGTGGGCTCAGCCTTGTCTTGCTGGAATTGTGGGCATATGCTATTCAATCAGGCCAGAGACTGGAATTTGTGACTTGCTTTTGTTTCTTTTTGTGCTTTTTAAGCTAAACTGATGCTACTTATCAAAACAAAAGTTGAAAATCCATTCCTCTCTCATTGTCTTTGGAGTCTAGTGCTGTGCTTTGGGGGCCTCAATGGGAAATTCCCATTCACTATAATTTTATCAATTACCTTTCATCATACGCTTCATTTATGCTATAGAAAAGTCAGACTACTACAAAGTACTGCACAGGCCTCACTGTTTTTTGCATAAAAGTTAAAATTTGTTTATTAAATAAATTTTAAAATAAACTGTGAATTGCAAAAAAAAATGTTTCTGTTTAATATGAGTAGACACATTAAAATGGTTCCCACTTTCCACACAAAAATTAAAATGTCCAAAAACCATTGGTGGTATATTGGGATTATAGCATGCATCAGCATTATTTTTACTTAACAGCCCTGCATAGAACTAGAAATGTTGTTGCGGTGGTGATCATGTGAGGAGCCTTGAAATTTGACTCAAGGAATGTCTACCTTTCAAAGCATACTTGCTGTAAGTCCGTGCAGATATCAGTATTGTATTCTTCTTCGTATGTCTCAATTTCCAAGGTCAAATACATGGCCGGAAACATTGTTTATTTCCATGAAGAAAACTTTGGTGAAAAAATATTAATTATTCTATTGAATTGTGGTATCTTTGAAGTTTAAAATAAAAAAATGGTGACGTGGCATGTCTAGACAACCTCGATACACCATCTCGAAAAATATACAGAAGTGCAAAATTAAAGCAAATGAAATTAGTATGTTTGAAGAAAACTAAAATGCAGCAACCAATGATAGATCTTGGTGCAAACATGATATTACAGTCTCTGTGTTCTGTTTACCTTTCATGAGTGTATTATACTAAATCCCTCTGTCTTCTAAAATGACCCATGTTGGTTCTAAAAAATGACCCTTGACCCATATGATGGTGTGTTCCCCTTTGAACGAAATGAATTTGTCACCAAAATTTTAGTTTATGCCTTATAGTTATACTCAATTATTTATGAAAACATTTCCAAAACCGATAAATCCATGAAAGCTAGTGGCATATAAATGACCTTTAAATATGCAAAATATATTAGAAAATGGGATTGCAAAGCGGTAAATAATAAAAGCTAGGAGACAAAAAGCAATGATCCAGTACAATTTTTACTCTAGACAGGATTTTGGACCACATCTTGGGTTATGGGAAGCAAAAGAATAATTTGGCCAGAAAGTACAAGGATGAACCAAATTGCCCTCAATAAGTAATTTCTGTTATTAATGTTTAGGCTTGGCTTGCTATTTCTATGTAGCTGATTGGCTTATGGAAGCAATAAAAGCGTCTTTTAGGTGACCATTAATTGCCTGCACTCCACATAGAATTTTGATGCCACCTACATTCAACCAGTAACTTCTTGCTTAGAAATAAGATTCAAATTCAATTAAATGTCTAAGCCAATCAATTCAGATGCAGTTTCCATTTTGGATGTATCCTAAAGCCATCCAACCCAGTATTTAAGAGCTTAAGAAAGGGTTATGATTTTAAGAAAGGGCAATACTGTTTAGCTTAATTAGGGGTTGCTAGTCAGTATTTAATTGACTAAGAATTTTTGTTATCTTTTCATCATAAATTGGAGTCACAAATGGTTCCAGTTAATGCTGAACTGTACTCCCTGGTCACTTTAATAAATTATAAAAGATATGATAGGTATCTCTTGACCTAAAAAATCTTAGAGAAAATGCATAATTGAGTGCCAAGTATGGTATCTTATATTTCAGAGGTTCATTTACATGTCACAACTTGAAATTTTAACATGAGTGCCAAGTAAATATGGTACCTTATATTTCAGAGGTTCATTTACATGTCACAACTTTAAATTTTAACATGATTTCCCTCAATTATATAGCTTAAGATATATATGGCTAAAATAATGAATTAGTTTAACCTAACGTCTAAAGTTATTTAATCCCACTGCTTCATGGAAAAGGGATAATTTCATTCTTTTGGTAAGCTGATGGTAATTAATTTTCATTAAGTTCTGCCGAAATCAGTAAGGGTAATGCAACACACTGCTATCCTCTAACTTCGCAAAAAACTATGATGGTTGGTTGAGCACACTACATCTAGTTTATGATTATTCATAAGCTGCAATAAGATTTTGGTGACCACTGTCCAAAGTTAGACAATGATATTCATATCTTTAATGATGTATCTCGTATAATCATATATGAAAGACAGAACAATATCATTAGGTTTCAGAATACTTGATGGTAGCTGCAATTAAGCAGAATACTTATTTATAGTCTTAAATTAAATGTGCTTAGTTCTATGCATTTTTATTCCTTTCTTACGCGGGTACAACATCTACGTTTGCACTTTGTATTCACAATAAATTAGGCCACAAATAGAAAAAGAATGCAATTATAAATAATAATGTGTGACAAAATTATTACATTTTACATGTAGTTGTTGAGTATTTGCACTACATATTTTGCCAAACTTCAAATTTGAGAATAGCCAATCTTTCTTTTTTATTTTTCCCACGGGAATATATTGTGTATTTATATATGATTTAGTTCCTTAATGTAATCATTAACAAAAGAGAGTTAATGTTTGGAAGGCAGTCACAGTAACAAGGGACAATTTGTTGGTTTGGTTGATGAGTGTAATTACCGTCAAAATATAATAATTTAGATGTTAATTCTCCAAAATAGTAAAAGTAAAGGTAAGATTGAAAAGGACAAAAAGTGTTGCTACTACTTCTAGATTGGAATGCGTGTAATCAGCAAAGCAAGAAGGGAAACCTCATTAATGCCTTTCTTTTTGGCACCACTCAAGTGTATTCTTTTCTCGCTAATTATAATTTATATAATGCTTTTTTACTTTTTTTTATGCTCTCTTTTCTTAGCTTTTACTCATCATCATCCCCTCCCCGCTCCCCCCTGTTTTTTGAAAAAAAATTGATTTTTTATTCCTTTCTTGATGATTATGTAGTTTCATACTTTCATATCATAACATGAATCATCCATTACCTGTGTATCTTTTTGGTGAACTTGTGATTAATAAGTACATAAATAGGGCAGAAATGTTTGTTTAAGATATTCAATTATAGAGAAAATTTAAATGCAGCGCATTAGTTTTATTATTAAATAATATTTTATGAAAGTTTTATCCTCAACTAATTAGAAAATTTTGTTGGTTTCAAATGCAAGAGAAATCATGTTCAGTGATAAAATGGGTATTTTTCTTTTGGTCAACAGGGTAAATAAAATGGGCTAACATTACTCAATTTGATCTGTCAAATGAACGTACCCTTCAAGCCCAAGACACTTTTTTATAAGCCCAAACTAGTTGCAAAGCTGAAAGGGATATGTTTTGGTCAAAAGTTGAAAGGGACTAACTACTTGGTCTGTTCGTGCTTGTACATTCTTGTTCTTTTGTCAAAGTGCTTGTAGATCTTGAATATCTGGCAGCACTTGCATTTTAGGGGTTTTTCTCCCTGTCCTATTGGGCTTGCTATTTCCATGACAAAAAAGCTATATATATATTATACAGGAGAGAGAGAGAGAGAGAGAGAGAATTTATTATATATTAACAAAATAAGAACATAAATCAAATAATAAGAAAATAGTCCTACTAATGTCAATTCTTAGGACTGATATTACGTAGTTAAAATTAAAATGTTTTATTAATAAAAATAATCATTAATTTTTTTATTTTTTTTACAATAAAAACCTATTTTGTCATAGATAAATTTCTATTTATAATCGCTTAAAATTATACTATGTTAACATCATGACAGACAAAAAAATAAGTTTGGAATAGTTTTCACGTGGACAGCAAAGAGGCATGAAGACAGATACAATAAACAAGAATGCAAAACAGACTAGACATGGATCACAATGATAGCAAATGCAAATATAGGTAGCAGCTTACGATGATTTGGGTGTTGATGGTGGTTCGTAATCTAGGTGTTGTAACAAGTTTCATTGTATATTAACAATGATGATTTGAAAGTAGCTGCAATGTTATGGTAAATTATTATATCATTAAGGTTGATGATGGTGGCTTGTTAGTTGGGTGAAGAGCTTGGTGTTAATAAGCTTCAATGGTTGGGACTTAAGCTTTCTGTTCAGTGTTCACACATAAAAGAGGTTTTTTTATTTGACTTGTTTCACATATGAATATATAGAGAGATACGCACATATAAAAGAAGAATGGGGATCTCTCTAATTGATACCTTTGGTGAACTTCAATATCTCTTAGGTTGAAAATAATTTGCAAGTAAGATAAACACAACATATAACTTGTCAACATTGCATCACATCATCTATTTACATTGTTATATACCTTACATATTTTTAATCTTTTATAATGAGTTGATGCATTTAAATTAAAATATATTAAAACAAGAGAAAAATAAATAATTCTTTAAATTTAACTTGATTATTTTATCATCACGAGAGTTATCTTTCTTAAAATTGTACATCAATATAATAAATTCAATGAGTTTGATTAAATTTTTAATATTATTAATCATGATAATAACAAGTAATTAAGATATTAAACTAACAGAATAAAAAATAATTATCTCTTATTATATGACTCTCATGTTCTATGTTTTTGTATTTTTATTTAAATGAAAATAAAAAAATATAGTAACATGACTCTCATATTATTTGCGCCAGAAAATAAGGGTATTCAAATCTCTAACAAAACTAAATACAAGAGTTTTTTTATATTATTTTTTATTTATGTAAAATTAATTAAATTTTTTTTAACTTTTAGCGTCTTTATATAATTAAAAAAATTGAAATGTTATAATCAGGTTGAATTCATTAGTAACAACAAAATTATGAATAAATTTTAAAAAATAAAATATAATTGTATTTGTAAATTGGCACAAAATTTAGAAATTTTTTTTTGTCATCTAAGTTATTGCAATCAATAAATGTCACAACAATAAAAGAAGATTTTATTAATCTCAGTCCAAGAGTTGAGAATAAACCATTAATAATAATAAAATTTTATTAAAAAATATTTATTATATTTTTATAATTTTAATATAATAACTGTGTACATTTTTTATAAAATTTTTTTATTTATAAATACTTAAACATAATTCTAAAGACTGAGATTAAAAAAAATATTAATATATAATAACAAATTTTTAAAAAATATATATCTTTTTATTAAATTGCTGATATTATGAAATCACGGAAACAAACAAAACAATGGCAGTTGTAATTGCTGCAAAAATCACTTTAAATCTTTTATTCAAAACCACCAAAATGTTATCTTGTGTCACTAAATTTAAGAACATTTTATCAATTGTCAAAAAAGAATATAGAGACCAATAAATATAACAGAATCAATTAATTAACCTTTTAAAAAGATATTTAATTTTAAACTGAAAAAATATATATAAAAATTAAACTAAAAAATTAATTGTATGATATAAACATTCTCAAATAAGATTATTAGAACAAGAAAAAAAAAAAAAGTATCGAAATAGTTTGCATATTAACCGGAGTGAATATACAGGTAGATATTACGTTTGGACCACCTTGTACATAACATAGGTACTCATAGCCATTGATTTATAATACTTTTAACGTGAGCCGTTGATGTAATTTGACTGGGAACCCTGTCTCTGTCTCCAATCATAAATATTTGGTTTTGTTTGATCTCAATTGGATCTTTTCAGCTTTCAATTGGTGCCCTAGCTTCCTCTTCCTCCATCTCCATTGCACCTTTGGCACGAACCCAATTCACGAGGGATCGGAATAGCCATGGGGAAGAAGAAAAAGAGGGTTTCTTCGAAGGTGTGGTGTTATTACTGCGATCGAGAATTCGACGACGAGAAGATCTTGGTGCAGCATCAGAAAGCGAAGCACTTCAAGTGTCACGTTTGCCATAAGAAGCTCTCCACCGCTGGTGGCATGGCCATCCACGTCCTCCAGGTCCACAAGGAATCCGTCACCAAGTATAACCCTAATTCCCTCTTTTTTCCTTCATTAGGGTTTTCTATTTTGCATTTTTAATGTATAGTAGGGTTGATCTTGTTAAACTCATTTGGAATGAAAGTAGATTTAGCTTACGTAATTCGTGTCCCGAATAATTTCCATCGTGTTGTTTTTTATATTAACACGTTCTATTAAGTACGATGCTAGAAATTTAGTAAATGTTATGGTTGCTGGTTGCTTTTTGCTTTTAAGGAATGTTTTTTAAGGGTTGAGTGGCAGAGTGGTTGGTTTCACGGGAATTCTAATGATCTATCCGTGAATTAATTTATAACAATAACAAAGGGAAGAGGGTATGTTAGCCAAGTGAATTTGCTCGCTCCTTAAAATCTGGATATTGATAAAATGTTGTGTACTTCCATAAGTTGTTGCTATTCTGTAAATTAGCGTTGAGATTTTTCTTTTTGTTTTTCTCAGGGTGCCCAATGCAAAACCTGGCAGAGAGAGTACGGATATTGAAATATATGGAATGCAAGGGATTCCACCAGATATCTTAGCTGCTCATTATGGGGAGGAAGGTAAGCTTGTTTGATGGCTTCTGTATTGAGCATGAAAATATTATTTTGTTAAGGAGGATGTCTGTCTTTTTAATCACAGTGGATAGATATGTCAACTGTCGTAGTCTGTATCCTCTTGTTTCTGTTTCTTAGTAGTGTTCGATGTCAGTAGTGTTTTTGTAGGAATTAAAGCTACAGGCTTTAGTTCAAATATTGTCAATCAAACATGAAATGGTTTAATCTCCTTTCCCACAATTTTTCAATTTATGCAGAGGATGACGTTCCATCAAAGGCAGCTAAGGTGGATGTCCCATCAACTCAGCTTGTGGGTGGAATGGTGCCACCCCCTTTGGGTACAGGATATCCTCCTCGATCAACCTTGGGTACAATTCCACCGGTGTATGTGTTTTTTTTCCTTTAGTTTGCTTATTTGTATTCATGTTCTGTTTGACATACAGTAGAAATGGTTAATTCTACTTATTTTATTTATTTAAATTTCTATTCACAAGAGGCATATAATCTGCTCATATGATTATTACTTTCTGCTGCAGTTACAATCCAGCTGTACCTGTACCTCCAAATGCTTGGGTGGTTCCACCTCGATCTCAGCCATGGTTTCCACAGCCTCCATCTGTTTCAATTCCTCCTCCTGCCCCATACACACAGCAGCCATTATTTCCTGTGCAGAGCGTGAGGCCTCCACTGCCAGCAACTGTTTCTCCTGCACTCCAAACTCAGATTACTCCTCCTGGATTGCCTACATCTACATCTGTCCCAGTTTCACAACCTTTATTTCCTGTTGTTGGAAATAACCATTCTACAACTCAAAGTTCAACATTTTCTGCTCCACCTCTGTCCTCAAGTGTGCAATCAATAACTCCAGCACTGTCTACAAGTGTCCCTGTTGATGCACATTTGAGTGTCAACTCTTCTATAACAAATAATTATCAGGCCATAGGGATTCCAGGTAACCTTATATTTTCTCTCCAAATAATTGTAAGTTTGTAACTGGTTTCATCACACAAAACTGCAAGAATGTTTTTAGTGATTTTCATTTCCTTCTCACTTGGTTTTCTATAGGTGGGGTAGCAAGTAACTCACATTCTTATGCTTCTGGTCCAAATACTGGTGGTCCTTCAATTGGTCCTCCCCCAGTAATTGCAAACAAAGCTCCTGCACCGCAGCCTGCCACTAACGAAGTTTACTTAGTTTGGGATGATGAGGCAATGTCCATGGTCAGTTATATTCTTGAAAATATATGTTGTGTTTCGTTTGACAACTATTGTTTCTTGTTTGTTAATGTTATGATACTTGGTTGATTACTGTAGGAGGAAAGAAGAATGTCTTTGCCAAAATATCAGGTGCATGATGAAAGTAGCCAGGTAAGTCATACTACCTCTGTAATAGATGGAGTTGCTTTCACATCTAACCAGATGAGTAGGCTTTATGCTCCTTGTTTTCAGATTCAGTTCTTTACACATTGTTTCCTATTTAAAGAGGTACATTCTGTATAAATTTCTAATCCTTTTTTTCTGAAAAGAATAAATGGCAAAGAAAATATGATCCCTTTAATCCTCCCTTTTGCTTCCAACCTAAATGGGTAGTTCATGCTGTTTTATTTTGAATTGCCACTATGGCTGCAAGCTATCCCTCCAATTTTTGTGGGCATCTAAAGATTCAAGTAGGTATTCTATTATTTTGGTAGTTTTTATAATTACCACAACATAATTTGTGAAGCTTGCTGCAAACAACTAACTTCGTGATACTTCATCCCAGCATTTGTACACCGTAAAAGAGTATGTATATATGATTTTTGTTGGGTTTGGTTTTGCCATTGTTATTCTTTCCCCCTACTTAATTTCAAAGTTTGGGGTTTTGGGTGGAGCATGATCTTACCCATCAGATTTTTGCCTATTCGTAGCATCATTACAATTTATTTTATGGAACAAGTGAATTCAGACTTGGCCCAGGTCAGCTTCTTTCGCAGAGTTTGGATCTCTTGCATAGGACCATGCTCTAAAATATTCGGTTTATAGTTGTAATTTGTGTTCAATGATTACTTGCTGATCATTGTTATCATTTTATCTTTCAGATGAGCTCCATTGATGCAGCCATAGATAAGAGGATACTTGAAAGCAGGCTTGCTGGTCGTATGGCATTTTAGATCCATCTCATCCATATACTCGTCAAATTTCTTCAATGATTTGGGCTCGAAACGGCATTTTAATAAGCTTCTGACAACGAGTGTTCAACATTTCTTTATTTAGTGCTCTAGCAAGTAGTAACCTTGTTATTGGTGCGATTCTTTGCCAAAATGGGCGATTGGCCCTACCGTCATAGTGGAATCAAAGGAAAAAGATTGAAGTGTTTCTGATAAGATTGTTCGTAGGAAGTTGCAGATCTTAGTTTATTTCTCATTTCCTGCCTTTTCTCCCTTTGATGTTTGTAGTCAAGTTTATAGGACATGATACTTAAAACAGTAATATATTTGATGTAATCTACATTACATAGCTTTATTTTTGGAGATAAGTTGATGGCAATTCTTGGTTCTTGATTATATGCTTCTTAATTACTCTCTCTCCGCGTGGCGTGTCTAAAATAAACAGTCATGAACGGGAGAAAATAATAGCATATGCAAAGCAAACGAAGTTAACAAAATGTTTACTAAAGAGTAAAAATGATATACACATTTTAATATAATCGACATCAATTGTTGCTATAAAATGTTCTTTGATGAGTTATGCTTCGCAATGGTTATAGATCTAAGAATTCCTTTTGAGACTGATACATCTCTATAAGCAAAGCTTTCGCACCTAGCACCATCTGTTACTCCTAGCTTGTTCTTGATGCTCCCAGACACTGCATGAGCACCGTCTTGGATTAAGGTGAAAGGTCAGTTCTATGGCAGAATGCTAGATTACAAGAACAGTGTGCTTGGTCAATTTTTTTTTGTACGAAGACCTAGGTGGGTTTGATTCCTCAAATGGTCCTTTGACAAAAAAAAAATAATTCTCAAATGGTCCCATAGGTGGGCCTTTCCTTGGACAAAATAAATAAATACAATAGAAATACTCATAGATAAGACAAATAAAACTCATGACCAAGAAAAAAAGAAAGAAAGAAAGACAAATAAAACTACAAGTCAACTTTGAGAATTTGGGATGCCGCCGAGTCACAATTTTCTGTTATATCCGTTGGTGATGGTCAAAGCACATGATTAAGAGGTTTTGTGTGGAAATGCTATGTGATACACATTGTTTGAAATTCTTAAAATGGCGCCCATGTCCATGATGCGTCAAATGCTACTAGGGGAGTGTGAACGAAGGTTTTTCATTGTACCATAAGTTTAATATAAGGAAAAAGACCACTGATATTGTGATAATGACGATTGAGATTGATCTTCAACAGTTTTTCATATCACTGACGGAGAAAATTGCATAAAAGGATGTCGGCTTTTTTCAGAGGTTATACAGAAAAATAATAATTGTTTAGAGTTGGGGATGATAAGAACTGCTCAAGCAACTCCTGGAGAATATATACCTAGCCTACATAAGCATAGGTCAAGCTATTTTTCTTAAGCTTATTTTATTAAAAAAGCCACGCTTTAAGTAATTTAACAAGCCTTTTAATTTAAGTATAATAAATTAACTTATTATTATCATGTTAAATTTTTAATGTAATGTTTTAAGATCTTATACCTGTTGTATTTTCAAAGACTTAGGCTCGTTTAACTTCATATAAAATTATGTTTATTAGGCTATTCAAAAGTAACTTTCTTGTCCTGTTCAAAGGATTTTATCATAAAATAAGGACAAATTTTTAAATCAAGATAAATCTTTAAAAGGTCAAATCCAATCCTAAAAATTGACCTATATCAAATATAAATTTAGACTTTACATTTAATACTCAAGTCTTGCATAACATGGTCTAATCGAATCTACTTTTACCCATGTTTTCTGGGTTGGGAAAGAATTAAGAAGCTAACCAATGATGAAAGATGGTTACACATATATTGCATAAAGGGTATTTTAACTTCTAAATAATTATAACTGGAAAATGAATACTAGGGCCATCAACTCACCATAAGAACATGAATAGGGATTCAACTAAACGATAACAATTGGGAGCAACAACTGGGATACACCCAAAGGAGCTAGAGGGGACCCCCTCCCATTTTACATAACTTCACCAAACTAAAGTTAAAATGATGGATAAGGCTTTGTACTTTTTTTTAAAAATATTTTGATATTACAAGTTAAGTTAAATTTTTTTAATTGATCTTCGGTGATGACTCATAGGTATTTAAAATAGGAATATCATATTTTTTATTTCTCCATCTTACATCACCTATCGTTTTACTTTCTTTTTTTTTTCTTATTTTTATATCTAAATAGCATTTCTCTTTAGAATAAGATACAGCTGTGCAGAAGTTTTTTGACTCTAAAATTCCCAAACTAAGGTGAGGGGTTAGATTTGGCACTTGGAATAGAAGTAGTACCAATTTCCATGCAGTTGTTGGTGATAATAAGACAACAACAGGTCACGACATCATCCATTGCTTTCATGTACAGTTGTACAACGCCTCTTAAAAACGGCACACCAAAGTCACAGTTGTTGTTTGGCATTTTAACCCTTTTGCTTCACATGAAGGTGGCTTTTGTAAACCTATAAACCTATAATATGTCTTCATTTTGGAATTTTTCTTCACTACAATGGCAATGCATTTTATGTTCCGAACTTCTATTTTTTCGTATTTATGAGTTACTCTCCATCGCTTTCATCCTCATTCTTAAACTGTAGGATAATTGTTGAATGAGAAAAATATGTTGTGGGTCATTACATCAACACCACGTCTTTAGACCTTTCTTTTTTACATTTTTTGGATTAGTGATTCTTTGATTAGTCAATTAAAACAGTTATAATTTCACAATTTGCAATAAGATGAAGGGACGTGATTGAAATTTGACTCTACTTGGTGGTCATGAGTGACTGATAGTAGTGAGTTTGAGGGAATGTTTATTAAATTAATTTTGATTTGAAGTTGATTTAAAAAATAATAATTTATGCTTGAAAACTTTCGTTTCATGGATAAATTTATGCAATGTTAAATGTACAATTTTCAGTTCATCATAAATGCAGCAAAACGTTGCTTTTCTTAAAATGGTAGCTTTGGATGCAGAATTGATTCTTTCAAAATTTGTCAAACATGTTAGTGTTCTTTTCTAAGCATGGTTGGCCCCTTTAAATGATTGCATTTTCAAACATACCATGCTTACGTTTCTTCAGCTTTCATTCCCATAAGCGGAATAAATTAATAAAGAAATTTGATTTCATATATTTAGACAGTATATATACTTTATGTTTCTCTTTTTTCTTTGTATCTTCCATTAGATGTGTACACCAGGTAGGTGTATACTAATCATTTTCCATTAAGTAATAGGTTTCTTGGTTGATTTTTTTAATAGATTATGGTTTAGAACAATATTTATGCCAACTTTTTTTTTTTTTGTCTTGAATATTTATTCCAACTTGATACAGAAGAATTTCATCTGTTATTGGCCATTTATGGATGCTTTTTTTATTTAAATAAATTTATAGATGCATGGTTGGTCTGGTGTTCTGGTTTGTGTTTTTTGAGTTTTGTTGGATACTAATTGAGTCTCCTCCAAAAGGTGGTTGGTTTATTGAAATAGTTGAACCAAGTATATGCATGTTTCTACTTATTGTGTTTGTGTGCCATGGTGTGAGGATTTGTCACTAGTCTCTATTCATAATTAGACATGATCATATATGAAGGGATCAGAATTTTTAAAGTTTGCAAATATTATATATATATATATATATATATATATATATAATTACTTATGAGAATTATGAAATGTAGCCAATTTTATTAATGACATTAAATATATCAAAATAAATAGTATTAAAATGAATAAAACATTTTTTATAAATTAAAAATAATTTATCTAACTTAAACAGATACTTGAAATATTAAATGTTGGATAATATATTTATAAATATTCAAATTACTTTAAATTATATATATATAATAATTAAGATAATATTACATGATTTAGTAATTGAATTGGTAGATTTTGAATTTTATAAAAATTATTAAATGATGCAAGCGTTAACATCTAGTATTTACAAATTTGGACTCTATACATATATTATAATAATATATTTTTATATATTACATATTATAATAGTATATAATTCATCTTTATCAATGAGAAATGGCAACGATAGGAGTTAATGATATGGCTAAGGGAGATTAAAATGTGAAAAGTGATCTAAAATATATATGTGAGGTACATACCCATTAATTTAAGGATTCATATCCAAATATTAAATATGAAAAGGATATACTCCCAACTCCCCCTCCTACAAACGACCACAACACACCATTGAATGAGCTTTGAGAATAAATAGAATAATTTGTTATAAAGGGTAAGAGAGTTATTTTTACATTCAGTCAGTGTACACTCAAATTATGAGAAAACTGAACGAGAATTTTAGAAATAAATGGACATAGTCTTATTGGAACAATACTATTTACTGATTACAGAGAGATCAGAGTTAAATAAGGGGGGTCTCTGCTGGGCCTTTATTTGAAACAACACTCTTTCTTCTTACACACAAAAAACGAAAACATTGCTCTTTTATATACCCCTCCTTCAATTTGCTACTTGCTCAGAAATCGTGATACAAAAGCTGGTTAATGTGTCAAATATACACATAAATCACTATTTATTTGTATTCCAATAAGATTTTTTTAATATATGTTTTTATACTAATAAAAATATTGATGAAATTTAAGTAACTAAAAATAGTAAATTTTGATTAAAAAATATTTAGACATTAAAAATATTATAATAAACAGATTATCTTAATTTTGGTAACTAAGAGAGTTATAAAGACTAATGCGTGTAGGATATGAGAAGTGTTGAAATAGAAATAGAAACAGAGGGGCTTAAATCCTTGATGGGGTGGCATAGAGGAAGGAGGACCCATGGGAAGGGGTAGACATTTAATAGGTTCACATGCAGTAATGGTGTCTCTCAAATTGAAAGAGACGTGGTTGGTGGTTTCATGATCCACCGCATTGAGAATAAATGTGGGTAGTTGAATCTCTGCTAATTGGTCTCTCTGGATTTATTAGCAGCTATTAATGTTACCCTTTCCTTTCAGACCATTTCATTAATTCTAGGACCACCTCGGTACTCTACACCCTCCCTGACATGTCACCCATTCACGGTTAAATGCAATTTCATAACTTCCATTACCCCTTATGGCTTCCTCTTCCTCTTCCTCTTCCTCTTCCAAATCCCCTCCTCTTCTTCCCTCTCGCCATTCTCCACAATTCACCCCAGTGAGTCCTAAATTATGTTACTTGTTACATTACATTATGTATAACATAACTTTTTTTTTATCATTTTTCTTTTCACTTTGTTGTTATTGTAGATTCAAGAAGAGCATGAGTTGGATGAGTTCAGTGATGATAGAAGCCAAAGTAGAACCACCCCAAGTGCTTCAACCGATAAGGTTCTAACACCAAAGCAGCAGCAGCACCACCCTCCAACTCCTATTGTTAACAAGGGCAATGGAAAATCCAATCACAAGAAGAAAAGGTCTGAATCAGAAGAAGATGGTTCAGTGTCTTGCAACAAGTGTAGGCCACATTCTAGAGACAAAATCTTTGTGCTTCCCTTGGATCACACCAACAGCAATTCACAAAGCAAGCACTCTTCTTTGCTGGCGAGTCCCAATGGGATTTTCAGGTCCATTGTTTCCAAGCTGACCCGGAAGAGTCCCATGTCAGCGTCAGCAGAGCCCATTCCAACATCAAGAGAGGAACAGTGGAAGATGGCTGTGGCTGAACTTTCTCACAAGCTTGTTCAAGCCACGAGGAAAAGGGACGAGGCTCTTCTAGAGGCTTCGAGGCTCATGCACTCCATGGCTGAGTTGGAGAAGAAGCTCAACAAGCTTGAGTTGTATTGCCACAGCCTGAAATCTGGCCTTGAAGAATGCAGCAACAGTTCACCCTTTGCAATGGGTAAGCCTCAAAGTTTCCACCAAGACACTGTGATCCAACACTTCTTGGTGTGTGTGTCCGAAGCAAGGTCTTGTGTGAGGCTTCTTAGTCGTTCATTAACCATGCAATTGAGACACATGGGGAACAAGGTGTACGAGAAAGTTTCATTTCTTCTACAACCTTATGACATAAGAGTGTCCTTCTCCAAGAGCCCAAGAAGCTTGCTTTTTTACTTAGAAGCCCTTTTGAATAGAACCTTCTTTGAGGACTTTGAAACAATCGGGTTCCAAAAGAACGCGTGTAATCAAGTGCTGAACCCAATGGAAAGGTGTGAGGCAAGTTTCGCTTCTTTCAACATGCTTCATGGGTTGACATGGGAAGAGGTGCTGAGCAAAGGGACAAGGCACTTCAGTGAGGAATTTAGCAGGTTTTGTGACAGGAAAATGAGTGAGATTGTGGCGATGTTGGGTTGGAATAGAGCATGGCCAGAGCCACTTTTGCAAGCTTTCTTTGGTGCCTCAAAGAGTGTGTGGATGGTGCATTTGTTGGCAAACTCTGTGCATCCAAGTCTTCCAATTTTTAGAGTGGACAAAGGGGTGAGCTTTGATTCGGTTTACATGGAGGATATGGGTAGGGACAAGGCTTCTAAGTTGGTCCCTAGCATGGTGAGGATAATGGTTGCACCAGGGTTTTATGTCTATGGCAGTGCTGTGAAATGTAAGGTCCTTTGCAGGTACTTGAGCAATAATAGCCACAGTAATAGTAACAAGGAAGACAAAGGTTTAACCCCAAGTACCCCTTAACTTTGTTTGGATAAGCTTATATTGTAATTTTTTTAGCCAATATTGTTGATGTATATTATATTGGGGCAGAAGGGTTGATTTTGTGAAAACTTTTTATGTAGTGTAATAGGCAATGTTTCATCAAGCTTGGGATGTTGGTATATCGAGATTTTTGGGTCAAAGTGAACAATTTGGCATTTTACTGGTTCTCTTTGTTTTATCTTCTGTCTAGTCTATTCGGACTTTTTATCAATTTGTTTTGTATCATATCTATGTGGAAATTTAACCTTTGGGAACTTTTTTTAGTTTGATGGGATTGGGATGTTGATATTCACATTCTGATGGGTCCTAAGCATGTGGATTGTGATCAGAGATAATTATTATCAACTTGTAAAAAATAAGAATATATGTATACATATATATAATAAGAGTTAAACCTTTTATACCAAGATGCTTATCCTGTGAATCAATTTTGAATCCATGCTTTTCATTACCAACACACGAATACAGGGCCATTGGGAATCGCATTGCATACATACAAAACAATAAACAGTCCAAACAAGGGATGGTGATGGTGGGAACCATGCCCATACACATGTAATGTACCTTTGCTTTCTTCTCTTTCACCCCCTTTCTCGCCCTCACAACACTTATCTTTAATACACTCTCTTAAAACCCACTATTCATTGTAGATAAAATTACTTTTAATTTAATAAATCTCATTTGCATTTTTTTAATTTTTTTAAAAATTTAGTCATTAATTAAAAACATATTTAAAAAATGTTTCCAATATTCCTCGTCTTTTCAGTTTAGGAAACGCAGCAATTTAAGTTTTGCGGAGCAACTTTTTGGATGAAACCAAAAGCCTAAAATTCTTTGTGATATGCCAAATCGTACAATTTTCTTCTAAATTGAAAACTAATCCTTAATATTTTTAAAGAAGGTAGACGAACCTCTTAAATTCATCAAACATGTAGTCATTTATATAATATTTTAAAATTTTTGTGAAGTATCCACAAATAAAAAAAATTATATAATTATTGTATTAAAGTTATAAAAATATAATAAATACTTTTTTAATAAAATTTTATTATTATTAGTTTGTTATTTTCGAGTTAAAGTTAACAAAATTTATATTTTAAATGATGCTATAAAAGATAATTATATCTACTTAATTAAAAAAAGTTAACGTGATAAACTACTGAGGGTTTTTTTTTTTAAATATAGAAACAAATACAAAAATTATCAAAAAATAATATTTAAAAAATTACAAAAATGGGATTTTTTAATATAGAATAACTTTTCGTTATTCACATATAAAAAATGAATATTCACCGGCGTGTTGAGGTCAATCTCTTTTTTCCTTTGCTTAATTAACAGTGAATCGAAATTTTGAAATCATATCTCTGCGTATTAATTACCTTTAATATGCAATTCATTGCTATTTGACTTTTTCAATGGCTACCACTTTTTAATAATAATAACATTGATTTTTCCCATCATTCAATCATTTAGGCATTACCCTTTTTTTGGACTAACATGAATAGTTATTGGTATTGGTATGATGGATGGGTTTTTTGTCATAAAGTGGATATTGGGCCCAATTTATACACCAAAATGGATCCATATATACAGCCCAATCTGTTTCATATTGTTTATTTTCAACACTTTATTGGGTTAAGATGTTTGGGTATTATTCACTTGGTATCTATCAAATTTCATTTTCATAATCATCTTTGTGATTCGTTTATTTATTAGTCTATTTGTTTTCTAAATTTGGGACTTCAAATTATTAGCCACAAACCTTGGAAGTTGGAAGTTGGCATATCAACTTTGTGCTTTGGAGAAGGCACCATCATCACCCTTCAAAAAAAGGGATTAAAAGGATAAACCATCTTTCCCACCTTATTAATTATTCCTCTAATTTTGGTTAAATTCAGGTTTATCACTTTTTCTTTCGCTTTCTTTCATAATGTATAAGCATCAAATCAACTTGCATTCACTTTTAACATTCCATTTCCTCATTTTCATTAAAGGTACATATATTACTTGAATATATATTTTTTTTTCAGGGACTTGAAATTCGCGTTGATTAAAATCTAAATAGGGATTAGTTTCACAATAAAAGAAAAACTAAAAAATTATTAAGCAATTTCTTTTGAGTTAAGTTTAATTAACTAATAATGGAGTTTTAATGGTAAAAGAGGGAAGCGAATTGGGTCATTTGATAAACAATCATGTAATTTACATATGTAGCAAATTTATTAAATAAAGTTACACACTGTATATTTATTTTGTTTCTCGTATTTTGATTATTTATGGGTGAAGGATAAGCATTTTAATTTAAATTAAATATTTATGAAATTTTTGTTAAATTTGACTTGTATAATTTTAACGTTAGATAGTAAAATAAAAATATGGAATTATTAATTCAACAACTGAAATTGTGATTAAATCTAAGTATATTTTTAATAAATTACACAATTGTTTAAATTTTTACTATTAACTATTTCACTAACTACTAAAATTATTTATTTTACTGTTTAAATGAGAGCTAATTCCTTTCCCATTTAGAGCTTGAACCCTTTTAGAAGTTCATAAAGATGATTCAAGCAAAAAAGTGAGCTGATTTCTTGTGCCCTTAATTATGACAACAAATGTTTATTTTGGGAGTTAAAATAGTAAGGCACACGATTTAATTTCCCCTTCTACTGCAAATGTTTTCAAGATCATCCACTAAATTTTGTTTTGTATTTTTTAACCAATCTAAAATTATATACTTTTTAAGGAATTTAAGTAGTTTCTGATATGATATTTATAGTTAAATCATTAGGAGCAACATGTAATTGAACTTTTAACCCCTCTTCAAAATAAAGTTATACACTTTCTATTTATATCATTCTCTTGACTCTACTTACCTTTATAAGGTTAATGATTTCTTGAGTTTTAATTTTTCAATGGAATCTACAAAATACAAAATATTATCTTCAAAATATTCTCTCTCATTCTTGAAAAATAAAATGCTTTTTATGAAGTCGATAAATGAAAAGATGATGCCATCATAGGATTATTTTAGCGACGGATTTGGTATGTTATGGAATCATTCGTACAAGTTTAGAAAATTAAGAATCATTTTTGGCATATAATCTCTAACCAAGTCTTTCATTGATTGAGCGAATTAGTCTTTATGTAGTTTCAAACTTGGAACCATGATTCGGATTCCCACACATTATCGTTTCACACTTTAGAAAAATGTTGTTATCAAGGAAAAAGTTGTAGGAAGAAGCATTTGGATAAGGAGTTTAATTCATTATTATATGATTATAAAGTTTTTCTAAATTGAATTAAACAATTGCTTAAATGCCCACATGATAACATAGGTTGAAATACTTAAGACTGAAATCAATTATAACTTTCTAATCCTAAAGTATATGATGGTGTGATGTAAGTTACATGTTAGAGGTTTGAATTTGTTGTTAAGAAACCATGTTAAAAAGTATCTGTGAATATCAAACATTCACAGATCTCGAGTGCTTAACAACATGCGTTTATTTATGCTCTCAAAAAACAAATTATTCATGACATGCACGGGTTCATCACTTGTACTTATGTGTTTGAATCATCATTTAAAACTCTAAAATTATAGCTTAAGTAACGTATATATCTTGCCTAAGATTAAAGTTCTTGCAATAAATATTAACTTTGATAATTGTATGAACTTGAACTTACGAAAATAGTTTTACATTTCTGAGCTAATTACCAATTGAGTATGGTAACTAATCATCTTAAAATAAAGTAAAAATAATATACTCCATAGAATTGATCTGTATTTCTTGGTTAACAAAATGTGCTATCTATATTCATGTCTTGTTACTCAATTTAGATGGCACAATTGAGAACAATTTGAGTTGCAGCACGTTTTCCAAAGATGAATAACAACAAAAACATAAACATTAATTGTTGTGAATTGAAAGAAAGACAGTGGGAAGGGTCCTCTAATGGGAACCACCCCCACAGAGATGAAGCATTCCCTTGAGGCCCTGCTATTAGGCTTTGGTCAAGCTTCTCACGCTTGTCTCTAAACCTGTCAAATCCAACATTGGACCCATAGTTGCCTTTTTGCTCAAAAAGTCATTGATACCATCTTCACTTCCCACTCCATTTTTGGTGTTCTTATCTTTCTTCAATTGAAGGTAACTTTTAATATTATACTTTTCAATACAAATGTATTATTTGTCAACTTTTTTATTGTGTATATTTGAATACACATTTAAAAAAACTTGAATAGATTTTTTCTTCACACTTTAATGATTTTTGTTATAATTCCTAAAAAGAATATTTTGTTCTATTTTTACAAATTTTTGTCATAGTCCTTTCATTTTTTTTTTATTTTGCTAATTTGGTTCAATAAAAGGTTGTTAATGGCAGTTTTTAGGACTAAAACCATTATATATATATATATATAGAAGTCCCAAGTAAAATGATATCCATATCAATATAATGATGATAAATTAAATTGGAGGAAAAGGTGAAAATGGTCCCCTCCCCCACCTTTACTTTACTTAAAATATAGTAAGTTTCCAAATGTACTGCACCCAGATTAATGTGGGTCGGTTCTTGCTTGCAAGGGCAAATAATGGTTAAAGCACTTAGCTAAAGTGATGCAATAAACTCAACACAGTTTATGCAGATGGTACTGATGTAGAACACGATTAAACACGTATTTTGGTAATTTGATGAAGAGAAATATTAATTTTTTGATTGACTTTAAGAAGTGCATGAATAATTATGATAAAAAAAAAGTGAAGTTTGAGTGGCTGGGAGCTAATCGGGTTATAGAATTTAACATTGATAAAAACAATGGGATAAAATTGAAGAAAATTTAAAAAATTATGTGATCAGACTTTTTTTCACTTTTAAATTAATATTTTTCTGCTAAAACAATGTATTGTTAACATTCCTTTGTAAACAAATGAGATTTTAAAAGATCTCAAACTATATTACTAACTACAATATATATAATTTTGATTGCGAACTAAGGAGTTAATTTCTGAAAAATTACACTACATGTTAGAAAAAAGAGTGCATGTAGAAAATAAAGTCTCAACAAAGTAATATAAATTTATTGCTGTAGCAACTTTTCTCTTACCTTATAACTTGCAATTAATTAT